GATGTTTAGCAGCATCCCTGGTCTTTACTCACTAGATACCAGTAGGGTCTCCCAGTTGCACACTAAAAAGGTCCCCAGACATTATCAAATTCCCTGGGGGCAAAATTGACCCAGGTTGAGACCCAGTGCACTAACCTATCATTCACTGTGTGCCAGGCATGATGCTAAGATTTATTTATATGTTATTTCAATCTTCATGTTTGTCCCCATTTTGCAGATAAGGAACTGAGCTTCAGCCGGATTAGGTGGATTATTAATGTGATATAGCAAGTGAATTGCTAAACTGGAGTTTAAACACAGACCTATCAGGAACCACTTTGTTTTCGACAACCATGTATAGTTGCCTCCCAGCCTGTGAAGGATGGGATATATTTCAGATCTTGTTTCTTCCACACATTTCAAGGCCAGGACATTTCTAAATCTCTATTTCCAAGCTTTTTTACTGGAAGATTTTCCTACCAACTGTTTAAATCAGAAGTGCCTGAAACTAAAGTTAACATTTTTGCTCTTTCTCTGTTTTTCTTTTCTTCTCGCTTCCCTTTTCAAATTGGTCATTCTTTTGATTAGGTATTGAACCTCAGATCTGACTCCTTTTGTATCTTCATAGGCAGCATCTCATATTTTTGTATGTCTTGTTCAAACTCTGTATTTCATTTCTGAAAAAACCTATTTTTAATAATTAGCAATGAAACCCTAACCAAAACCCCAATAGGAATCTTTTTGGAACAAGAAGTTTAAGGTTCATCTGAAAAAGAGAGCTCCTAAAAATAGTCAAAATTTTAGAGAGAAAAAAAACAGTGAGAGGGAATTGCCACATCGATTTTTATTTATTAAATAAATATGGTTCCTACTGTGTTAGGCACTATTCTAAGCACTATACAGATATTTACTCATTTAGTACCAGACATGAGACATCAACCTAGACTACAAAGTGATAAAAATTAAAGCTGTATTATACTGGCATTGGAATAGAAAACTTGATCAATGGGACTGTATCAGGGTCAGGTCCTCTGGAAAAGTCCGTGCCAGATGAATTAGAAGCAGAAAGGATTCATTTGGAGTACATGTCTGTGGAAGACAAAAGGGAGAAGTAGGACCTTCTGACCACAGTTTAGCTCCAATACCTATGATAGGAGATAGGGAAGGAAGGAGGATTGGGTAGGTAGAGCTTAAGACTATAATACAATTCTGAGAAAATCTTAGTTAGATCAATGGAAAACTCCACTGCAAAGATTGCCCATTAGAAGAGTCCCATTTTGGACAGGACAGTCCAGCTCTACTACGTGCATTGGGCTCAATCATGGTATGGGAACAGTCCAGAGGGAGTGTAGCTTCAGTGTGAACACTGCAGTGAATCTTGGAGGTATGACAACAGGAGACTGTGAGCCAACTACACTTCTCACAACAGGCTCTCTCTTGAAGGGACCTCTGAACCGTGTTCCTTTGTGGTTGCCAGAGGTATGATATGGAGATTCAAGAACAGACTCATTTATAAATGTGAATTCATTTATAATAAAGTAGGCATTTCTGATTAGTGGGAAATGAATGGACTATTCAAATAAATAATGTTGAAACAACTGGCTATCTATATGGAAAGAATTAATTTAGATCTCTACTTCATGTCATCCTCAATATAAATAAAGTCTGGATGGAGAAAAATATAAAGTATTTGAAGAAAAAAATATTTTAACTAATCTTAGTGTGAAGCCCTTTTATGCAAACCCAGAAACCATAAAAGAAATGACTGAGAGATATTTGACTAAATAACAATTTAAAACTTCTACATGGAAAAAAGCATTTATAAAATTAAAAACCCGGTTATAGATTTGGAGAAAGTATTTCTGTCATATATAACAGGCAAAGAATTAAAAGGTTGAATATATAAAGAGATCCACATCAATAAGATAAACAACTCAACAAGAAAATGGACAAGAATATTGACAGGCAATTCACAAAAGAAATGGTAATAAATACAGGAGAAAAGGTTTACACTCACTGGTTATCAAACATAACCAATAGATATTACTGGGCAAACCAGGTGGGCAAAAAATTAAAACATTATTATTATATTTTGTACAAGTACATAAAACACTGAAGAGTAGCTGGGAAAATGAATATTTGGCTTTTTCAACCTCTAAAGGGTAAATGGACAGGGAAGAAATGTCTTAACAATAGGTTTTAATTTAGTGAACCCTCAGTATCTGCCATACCTACAGGTAAGGGAATGGAAATCGTGCAAACTTTGGTGCATTCTTGTTAAGGAAAAGTATGTAGCAAATGAGCTAAGTTTGTATGGACTGATGTGGACAGACTTTTCAAGATGAGAAACAGTACACATAACCTGCTTTTATATATATTACAGGAAAATGCAGCAGTTATCACTGAGGTTGGAGGAAGAACTGAAGTGGAAGAGGACTTAGGATTTAATCTATGTTTCTGTATTATTTAAGTCACGTATATTAAATTTTTATATTCCTTAAGAGATTAAAAGAGACACATAAATTACTAGCCCTTTTCCCAAAAAACAAGAAAGCAAAACCCTAATTCTTTTCTTTGCCCATGGTATGCATTCACCATTTTTTCCACAACAGCCTTTAATTTTTCTTTCTTCTCTATTCCCACAGCTACACCCCATTTCCATCAGTCTGTGCCTGGTCAATTGCAATAGTCTTCACACCTTCAGTCTTTCTTTACCCCAGTCCTGCAGTCCACAGCCAGCTTACTTTTCCTAAAACCAGGTTTACTTTAATCACCCCTCTGTCCACAAATCTTTTATGGCTCCCCCAAAGTGTTCAGAGTGGGTGCTAACAGATGTTCCAGAGTTCTGGGGTCTAGTGAATCTGGGAAATGTGTTTGACCCAGTTAGAAAAAGACTTCTTCAGAATAGAATATCTAGATTTTAAAATGCCAATGTCCTTAGAAGAGGGGAAGACAGGGTGTATCTCAATTTACTTGGCAAAGTGATTCTTCTGAGGAACATTACTGACCTTCTCAGGACATACATTGAGAAACAATGACTTAAGGGAAAAAGTTCTTAAGAATTCTTCTGGTATTAACATCCTTGCTCAACATGTTCTTATCATTTCATTTCCTCCATTTCCCAAAATGAGTTTCCTTCCTCGCTTCTTCCTTCAGGGGTCAAAACTAGTTCCTTCTACTCCAGGGAGTTCTTCCTAATTATCTCAGTCTCTCAGAACTGTGGCACTTATCACGGGGACTCTATTAGTTACTTCTCCAGAACTGTCTAGGTTTCGATAGTCCTCTTTTCTTGGGCCCAACTTGTCGACTCACCTGAGTAGTGCTAGGACTAAGTCTTACAATCTGTAGTACACATAATATTTAGCTGCTTGAGTAATATTATGCAACTCCCCCAAAGTAGATAATGGTCGCCACTGTGCAAGGCAGCATTTAGGTCTTAGATAAACCTGTTGGCATTATACTGTCATAGAAAGCACTGAAAATTGTACTGTATCCGTTTTCTATTGTTGTTGAACAAATCACCACAAACCTGGTAACTTAAAACAACATGAACTTTTTATAGTTCTGTAGGTCTTAAATTTGTCAGAGGTCCCACTGGGCTAAAATCAAGGGTCAACAGGGCTGTGTTCCTTCTGGGCACCTTAGGGAAGAAATCTATTTCCTTGCCTTTTTCATCTTTCAGAAGCCTCTGTATTCCTAGGCTCCTGGCCCTATTCTCCATCTTCAAAGCCACAGGGGCTGGTTGAGCCCTTCTCACATATCACTCTGACCTCCTCAGCCTCTTCCACTTTTAAGGAAGGACCCTTGTGACAAGGGTCCTATTAGGCCTATCTGGAGAATCCAGGATTATCTCCCTATTTTGAAGTCAGTTGATTTCCAACTTTAATTCCATCTGCAACCTTAATTCCCCTTTGCCATGTAACCTAACAAATTCACAGTTCCCAAGGAGTGGGAAGTGGACATCTTTGGGGAGCCATTATTCCACTTACTATAGGCATCCTTGCCAAGTCTAAATTGAGGGTTTGCATTCAATATTGGGGGTTGTGACAATAAATGGGAAAAGCTTTTTGGTATAACAAGACTCTTTAGTAAAGGGGGACTCCGCCACCTGATCTTTGGTAAATTACTGGAGTCTCAATATACACATTTTTTCCAAAATGTAAATTGCCGACCTTTGGGCTGCGTGTTAAAGGAAATAATTATGCAAACGGATTTAGCTTAGAGGATGACAAATAGGCCCTCAAGCAAGATTCTTGAAGAATCTTGACGAAGAGGGTGGGCGAAGTTCTCTGAATGACATCTGGAGGTAGTTTGAGAGATTTCCGGAGAAAAGGAGTGAGGAAAAACGCCTGCCTTTGAAAGAAGATGGAGATTGAAAATTCTAGCAAAAGTAATCAAATTTCATGGGAAGCTTTTAAATTAAGGTTTAAGGCAGAGGTCCCATGTTAAAAAAGGCGAGGGGAAGGGGCTCCCTAGGAGACACCCAGTTGACAGGAGGTCAGAATTGAAGGGGGAAATTTGTGAGGTCTTCATGGGCAAAGATCATATTTTGAGAAATTCCCTCCATACTTAGTTCAAGGCCATATATATCATAGTTGTTCAACAATCCCTTAATGAATAAAGTAATTAAAAATGTGGCCGAGAAAAAAAATGAGATCATAGGTTCCACCGAGATTTGAACTCGGATCGCTGGATTCAGAGTCCAGAGTGCTAACCATTACACCATGGAACCGCCACGCCAACAGAACCGGCTTCAGCTCCCTCATCCTTAGAGATCCCCACCCCCATCCACTAATCCCCTAAAGGGCGGGGCTTACGCACTCCCCGGTACCCTGCTTCTACGCCTGGTGAGGCGAGGAATAAGGGCGAGGCCACTAGGAGTGTGGTCAGCTGGGCGTCCAGGGCTCGTTTTCCTTCTGAGCCTCCTGGATGCGGTGAGAATTTGAATTTGAAGACGGACACGGCTGACCGGCGAAACCCCAACCTGGGCTCAGGGGCGGGGCGCCACCCCCCGGAAGTACTTCCCCTTAGGGGCTGGGGCCTGACGGAAGTGGCGTAGCCGCAGGGAGGGGTTCTTCGCCCAGTCCGGCGGCGGCAGCTCGGCGCTCGGGTTAGCCCTGCAGCGACGCCCCCTAGTCCCACCGATACCACCGCTGCTCCCGCCCCTTCGCTGCTCGGCCGCGCAATGGGCACCCGCGACGACGAGTACGACTACCTCTTCAAAGGTGAGGCCGTGGGCTCTCCTGTCCACCGAGTCCCTGTTCGGGGGCTCGGGACACTCCCGGGAGACCTGCGTGCGGGCCACCCCTGCACTGAAGTCGGCCTTCTTCAGCCCTTCCTCTCTGCGGTGTCCTAGCCCAGCCCCTTTTCCTCTCCTCAGGCGGGGTCCTCCCCACTCGCCAGTCTCTTAGTGACCTCCCCGTAGGCCTTGGCCAGCCTCGGCCCCTTCACGGTGTGCCCTCACGGCGGACCGACTTGTCCTAAATCGCCTTCCTTTCCCCGGTTCTGCGGCCCTTCCAGAGGGGCCGCCCCTCCCACCGTCGCTCTCGGGTTTGGTGCCCCTCCCCCTCGGCGTCCACCCTCACTCCCCATTCTGAGCCCCTCTGACAGGCCCTTCCGTCGGCTCTTCACCTCTCCTTCCGCGCAGACTCCCGCCGCTGATCTTTTCCTTACCTGCCCTCCTTTCCCCTCTGCGGCCCCTCGCCGCCCATCCCCTCGGACGGATGCCCTTCCTAGCCATCTTCTATTCCAGGGCCAGGTCCTCGTTAAAATCTGGGCGGACCAGCAGCCCCCACCCCCACTTTCCCCACAGTTCACGCGTTAGTAACCTTCTCACACTGCCCCCGCGATTGGTAGCTCTTTCTCCACCTTCCCTCCGCAAACAGTTTAGAGCCAGCCCTCCCCGTCTCCTGTGCGACCCCGAGGGTGGGGGGTGGGGTAGGGCAAGAGGATTGTCCATCATCCGCGCGCGTGCTTGTCGCAGTGACCCGGCCGACTGATGTGACTTCCCACCTAGGCTTTCTTCTCCTACTCTCCCTACCCAGCGGCAGCCAGCCCGGATGGACTCTTGACTCTTCTCACGAGAAAGGGGTTGCGGATGGGTGGCGGCTGTTATCCTTGCCAGACCTGAAGGCCCAGTTCCTGAGCAGGAAAGGTTGTGCGCTGCACAAATACTAGTTTGCTTATCACTATGGACTGGTTGCTTCCTGCTGCAACACTGGGAGGATCCGACCTTTTGGTGTTTTTTGGAACAGGAAGGGAAGAGTCCTAGTTGGCCACATACCTTTCTCCAAAAGGTGGGGGCTGGGGGGAAGTTGTGTGCTCTTTGGTCAAATTAAGTATTTATTATAAATAGGGAAACATGCAGTGCCCTTGGACAAAACATTGGAGGGAAGGGAGTGGATAGAAAGAATTACTTATTGGTTAGTCCGGAATGGATCCAAATAGCTTTTTTTTTAATCAACAAAGATAAAGGATAGTTTTCAATGAGAAGAGAGTATGGTAAATGCTTTTTTTTGTTCAGTGAATGCCCTCTCTCTCTGATGCTCTCTCTTTGTCTGCTCCTGAATTAGGAGGGCAGCCATCAGTAGTATGCTGAACAAAGATCATTACCAGGAAGAAGAAGCCATTGCTATTAAAGCTTTACAGTGGAGGGTGGAGTTTAAAGAGTGTTAACATAGTAGCCGTTTCTGACTTTGCCATTGGGTACTAAGAATGATTGACTAAACGAAGCAGGAAACACTGCTTTACGAATACTTCGCAAATCTTGGCATACTAGCTGATGATACACCTTTATCACCAGTTAACTCCTCTGAGCCAAAATAGTATATGGGAGGGGGGGGGTACATTCAGTATCCACTCCCACTTCGTAGTGGAGAGACATTTACAGAGAAGAAGATACTTAATGCATTTTACAAACACCGAAGGGAAACTTGGGATTAGCTTGCTGAATGCATACTGTTTGCTAAAGGCATCTTGTCAGGTGAAGTTGCTTAAGTGAGACCCTAGAGACTGGTGTTCGGTGATTAAAGGGAGATTTGTTTTTTAAAATAAGGTATAGTGTCAGTGGGCTGCTAGCTACCCTTGAAGTAATTAATTTAGAACAAGATAGACTGACAGTATTTCTCCTGTTTGGTTTGTAACTTGAATGTTGGTTACAGAAGCCTTTTTTTTTTTTCACTAAGAATATTAATTATTGTGGATTTTTATTTTTTTAAATTTAACTTTGAGATTAGACCATCCTACTAACAGTGATTGAGAGCATAGGGCTTTGGAATCAAACAAGCCTGGATTCAAATCCTAATTCAGGTCTTAAATTTGCTTTGTGACTTTGGGAAAGTCAACTTCTTTGGGTCTCAGTTCCCTCTTCTGTAGAAGAAATAATACCTACCTCCAGACTCTTTTGAGAATTAAGACTGGTGTGAGGAGTCAATAAATGGTAATAATGTGAAAGAAGTTACTGTGGTTCTTGTCAGTTTTTTGACCCTTAAGTTTTTATAAAAAGAAGAAGAATAAAATGTTAGTAAAGAAACTTAGAAGTAGGAACTTTTAATGTATTTTATGTTCTCATGGGTTATGGTTTCATTTTGTACATTTTGCTGCATAAGGTAGGGTGTTTAAAAAATTCTGCTGAGAAGGATTTCCAGTTTTTTCAAGCTCTTACAGGATATGAGTCACTTTTTTTTTTACTTCACTGCTGATTATTTAGCCAGTTTCTTATTTACAATTAAATCATTTTAAAGTGAAGCAACAATTTCATTTTAAAATGGTTTCATTCTACAGAGACTTACTCAGTGAGATGAGCTGCAGTTCTGTACTTGAAAGAAGGCTTACCTAGCAAAATTAATAATTAAGGGAATTGGAAGTTAGTTTGTAACAAACCTGTTGAAAATGAAGGGATATTTCGATTAGTACAGTGGTTCAAATGGAAGTATAACATGAGAGCAGGACAATTATTCTGAATTATGTCTTTGTTCTTGAACTTTAATCTTTAGTTAAGCTCAACAGTGAGACGTTTGGTGCAGGGGAATTAATTCCATTGTTTTTTTCATTTTTTTATTTTGGTATCATTAATCTACAATTACATGAGGAACATTATGTTTACTAGACTCCCGACTTCATCAAGTCCCCCCCACATACCCCCATTAGCCACTGTCCATCAGTGTAGTAAGATGCTGTAGAGTCACTACTTGTCTTCTCTGTGTTGCACAGCCCTCCCCGTGCCTCCCCCCACGTTATACATAATAATCGTAAGGCCCCCTCCTCCCCCCTCCCCCTCCCTTCCCACCCATCCTCCCCAGTTAATTTCATTTTTTAAAACTTGACTTTTTAATCTTAAAAGGTTTAATTCTGCAAGTATTTACATACAGTGTGGTTAAAGCCCTATGGCACAGACAACTGCAGTGTCAATCACAGTTCTTATTTACAAGTACTGTGCTATACACCAATCCAGTCAAACTCACATTTTCTGAAAAATCTGAGTAGTCTACATCATTTTTGTTTCAGTCTCATTCAAGAAGGTCAGTAGTAAGTCATCAGCTGGTTGTCAGTGGAAGGGACCACAGGAACTTTGCCATCTTGCATCTTGGTCATTTTTCTTTCACAACTTTTGATTGAGCAACTGAGATTCTGCTGAATCTGGAAAAACTTGTCTAGGCTGAAGCCTTATTGAATTCATTTTATGTTAAAGACTTTCACTGAGGTTGAACTATGAATGTAGTTGAAAGCATAGAAACATCTCCAGGTTCATTTTCAAAAATTAGTATGAAAATTACCAGTTATTTCTTCAGGTGATAACATTTAGGTCTGATTTATTGTGATGGTTTGTTGAATTAAATTTTAGTTTGGTACATTAGTTTGGAAAAGAGTGGATAAAACTAAATGTGGTTGAAGAGGTGGAAATTTTTACTAAGTAAGAGATGTTTTTATGGCATTTGGAAGCTTTAACATTTGATATGAACCAAATTTAGAGAGATGATACTTAAAATTCAGCAGATGAGGTTAAAATCAGGTTATTTTAGAAATGCTATTACAGATGTTTACTATATAGATGCTGTTATTTAATTTATGTTTATATTTATACTATATAAATATATATAAAAATATAGATGAATATAGTTATAAATGTTTAAAGTGGAAGCACTTTTAACCTAAGGAACTAATTATGGAAAACAGGAAAGTCACTGCAGAGTCTTTTCTTGAACTGTAGGATGTGATCATACAGTTTGTCACATTTTTACAAAGCAGTTAAATACCGTTATCTTAATGAGGGAAACTATTTTGAATACAAATTAAGTTAGAATCCGTGAACTTTTTACTTTTTTGGTTTGTTTTTTTCAAGTCATAGCCAGTAAATTCTCTTATGTTGCTTAGGTAATTTAATCAATTCTCGTTTATTTTTTAGTGAGCCTGAATGACCCTTTCAGTTTGGTTTCTCGGTTGGTAACTGAATACGAGCAGTTTTCCTCATTGTGTCATTTCCTAGCATCTTTTTGGCAGCACTGTTCTTGCAGAACCAGTATCTTTTGTTGTCATTCAGATTTAATACTTGAACAATTTGCCAGTCTTAATTCTAACAACCTTGACCAGATAACTGTATTGTACTGTATAAAACATTCATGAATCTTGAATTATTTTCAGATAAGGGTGCTATTTTTTATAATGTTAATTGGTCACTTTGAGGGGGAAAAATGCCATCATTATCTTTATGTTGGCATGAAGATTTGAGGATGGGGGAGATAATGGGCATTATCATTAAAATGCAGGTTAAAAGGGAAGAATCGAAAACCTGAAAGTGCTGGGGTTTTTGTGGGAGGGAGAAGATGTTCTTTGACTTATTTATTTTTTATTTTGCAAAAGCATTGTCAGATGTCTTGCTCTTTGGCTTTAAACTATGTGACTGGCTCCTGAATTACCTCGATATCTGAGTGCCTATGAAGGGGAAACGTTTTAACTTTTGGTTTTCCCTTTCTGCCCTAGTCACACCCCAAGTGGGGCTTTTTTATATGGCAGTGCTAGTTTGGGGCTAGAAGTGATCCTAAAGGAGGTTTCCTCAACAGAGCATCCAGCTTTTGCAGTAAGAAGCAACAGCGAGTGTATCCTATTAATAGGGTAGACTGTTACTGAAACTGGGATTGGACCTCATTGCTCAGAATTGTGACATCTTCCCTGGTATCCAAATTAAATCATTTACTATAAGTTCTATGTTTGCCACAATACCTCTAATACCTCTAAATTGACTATACAGCTAGAAGTAACTATTAGTTGTGCTGCATAAAGTCACTGGCACCTGGATGATTTCTTGCTGAATCAGCTAACAGAGGAAGCTAGAAAGATATGCATTTGATAATGTACTCTCTCCAAGACTGTTCAGAGGCCAGTTCATATCTGTTCTTGTAACGAGGAAGGAATGCGCAGTGGCCTCTTTTTGCACTCTGACCAGGGTGCAGTGAGCTCCCACGGTTTGTACCTTCCTTTTTACCTCCACCACCAAATCTCAGTCTCTTTAGTAAGGTATGGTCTTATGCCTTGGTTTTATTCTTGCATGTTTGATTTTCTTTTCTAAGTTTAATCAGTTAATAAGAAAGAAGAAGAGCCTTAGAAGGCTACAGTAGAAATAAGTATATTTTCTGAAATGCCAGTAAAATTTTTACAAAGGAAAAAATGTTATCTACCTGAGAATTTGTAAACCTGTGAACTCATTTTGTTCCTTCAGATAAAAATGCTTAAAACAACATAACTGCTTATTTCCCCATTGTTTATGAAACTCTTAGGTGTAACATCACCTTGGGTAAAAAAGAATCCCTGTGTATTTAGTAGTAAACTGCCTTCTGTAATAATGATAGGAAATAAATTCATCTAATCAAAACTTGTTTTTTAAAAAAATAAGTGGTGAAAGTGTATCCTTTGGCTTTAACTCAGTAAGTCAGAATTGTCATTTAGCATCTTAGGCCCCTATTAAACTTAGTGGAGTGTCTGTTTTTGGAGGGGTCTCTAGCTTCCTGCCAGTCTGATAAATACAACTATTAAAGGGTCATTGTAGTTTCTGTAATCTGGGTTGCAAAGTTTATAAACCTGATGCCTCATATGTTAAACATGTTTCATTTTGCCTAGGTGTGAGTCCTGAGGTCACACCCAGTCTTTGATGAAACTAAGAACCTATTCATTTTTGCCCTTCCTAACACCATCATCCTTTGTTACTTTCATGCCTGATACCTTTTAATACACAAATTGTTCCTTTGGTTTCGGATTTACCTTTCAAGTTACCTTCTGTGGTAGTAAGGTTGGTATAGCATTGATGGTAATTAATGAGTTAGCCTGTCTTCAGTGCCTAGTGGATTTATGATTAAAATTGCATGTATAAGACAGGATACTCTGTCCTAAGCAGATGGTGTGTGGAAGTCATAATGCAGGTAGGAACAGGTTAAAAGGAATGAATTGTTTTTATCAGTTGGTAACAGGTCAAGAATATGGCTATTCAACCCCACCCCCATCCCCTTTTAAAAATCAGATGTCCTATTTTTTTTTTTTTTTCTAAAGCCTGGTGGTATTCTTGAATGTGTTTGCCTCATTCATCTGACATTAAGATCTTTGTCTTTTTAGTTGTCCTTATCGGAGATTCTGGGGTTGGAAAGAGTAATCTCCTGTCTCGATTTACGCGAAATGAGTTCAATCTTGAAAGCAAGAGCACCATTGGAGTAGAGTTTGCAACAAGAAGCATCCAGGTTGATGGGAAAACAATAAAGGCACAGATATGGGACACAGCAGGGCAAGAGCGATACCGAGCTATAACATCAGCGTAAGTGTCATGGTTTTTAAGTTCTGGTAAATAGGCAGTCATCAAGTGAATTAGCTGACTTTTGGTATCCGAAGAGGTACTGTTTATTTTTTTCCTTTTAAGAATACCAGTATTAGGATTTTGAAATTTATAAGTGTGTTTTTAAAAATATGTAATCCATATATTTAGTTTCTTGTGGTGTTCCCTTCCATCTTGTGTTTGTTTTCTAATAAATACATGTTTCTGTTTTCAGATATTATCGTGGAGCTGTTGGTGCCTTATTGGTTTATGATATTGCTAAACACCTCACATATGAAAATGTAGAACGATGGCTGAAAGAACTGAGAGATCATGCTGATAGTAACATTGTTATCATGCTTGTGGGCAATAAGAGTGATTTGCGTCACCTCAGGGCAGTTCCTACAGATGAAGCAAAAGCTTTTGCAGGTTAGTGATAGGAATTCCATGACATTACAGTGAATCTGTATTTCTTGCTGTTATCATCTTGCACTTTTGATACGCTTCCAATGGGTGTAATTGGTTTCAATAGTTTCAGAAAGGTACACAGGAATGCATAGTAAGGATTGCTGTTCTGAAAGTTTGTGATGACTTTCACCACCAAAGTTTTGAAGCAAAAGTGGCTCTTTGGCTTAACTTTGAGTCCTTAAAACGACTGTAGTATTTTTGAATTTTTGTTGCCATAAACAACTGTTTTCTCTCCCAGGAAGAGATAGCTGAAACCTAACCATTTATTCTGTGCTTCCTGTCTTTTTTTCATTATGTCTTTGTGTTTTTACCAAGGCTGCTCTACGTGGGTCTGAAAATCAGTGGCCCGGGGAGCATCAGGGACCAACAGAGGTGTAGCTGCTTAGGAATGAAAATGTTTTTTCCTTATGGAGGATCTTTCTCTCTTGCCTCTTTCCAGTAGGGGCAGCCTACCAGAAGGCAACGCTATGAATTCTTGGCTAGTGAAAGTTGTGACCTTCCACTAGTGATCATGCTATGAATAAAGTTTTCTATGATAGCTTTTTAGTTTTCTAGGCATGTAGCTTTATTTCAAATAATTAACATTTACAGAATTCTGAGTGAATCACATATACCCATCTACATTTATACCATAGCTATGTAGTTGATGGGGAGAAGGACAGTAAGGGATGGGAATAATCAGGTATTTGATAATTTTACTACATTTTGAGTAGTGTCATTCATTACTAGTGGTAGTATTTAGATGTAAGTAGTATTCATTTTAATTAAGAAGCTAAGAAAAATTTCTCACTTCTATTTTTAATCTACTAAAATGTAAGTAGAATGGGGTACCCTTACTGCCCAAGAAGTTGAGGAGGTCTTAGGTTTTAGCAACTTACATTATTTTCCTTTTGAAGGCTTGCATGTATCATGTGCCTTGTATTACAGTTTGACAAGATGGAAGTTTTTTTGTCTCTCCACAGAAAAGAATGGTTTGTCATTCATTGAGACATCTGCTCTAGACTCTACAAATGTAGAAGCAGCTTTTCAGACAATTCTGACAGGTAAGACTTGATTTTTTTTAGATTGTATTAGTTGGAATTGGAAGTTTTAGGAAAGTAACTTTTTCAGGAAACTATGTATCATACTATCTGAGAACGACTATCATTTGAGGGCTGCTATAGCAAGAGCTGTTTAGAGTACTAAATTATTTACACCCCTTGCTTGCTGAACTTGGTCACCCTGGTTTATAGTGGGAAAAATACTTTGAAGATAATTTGTTCACTTCTCTTATTACTTCGTATTCCATACCACAAGTAGTGCTTAAATGTACTTTCATAAGACAAATATTTGAAATCCTAGCTATAGAAAGTTATAAATGCCTTTGAAGTTCAGTAAAGAAAAGCTGTTCTTGGTTCTGATGTGTTAAAGAAGCAGTTAGGGAAAAATTAATTCTTAAAAATTTAAATGAAAAAACAAAAAGTAAAATTCTCCTGTGATATATTGAAGAAGTAGGTGTCGCCTGTAGTGAAAACCAGCCAGTGAATATGTATAGAAAGGCTTAAATAAAAAGGGGGAAAGGAAAAAAGCTCAGGTTGTTTTGAAATATGGATGTGCAGATCTGGTCAACCTAACCAATAAGAAGAAAATTTGGGTTGACTCATATCTATCCTGACTTTATTAGAATAACCAGTTTATCAGTAAGTTTGGCCTAACTCTTCTAAGAAGTATTTCGATGAGTTATTTTTACGTACTTTAAAATTGTATATTGCTTTTAAGAACTCACGATATAGAGTGTAGTCTTAATATATAGTACAGTTTTATGTGGTATTAAAAGTCTGTATGGAGAAATGGTTAATAAATGAGTTTCCAATTATAATGAACAAGATTTTAATTTATTCTTTGCATGCACTTGTATTAGAGGTGAACAGATTTTAATATTTAAATGTCATCATATTTTACTGTAAAAATGGAGGGAACGAAGCCTAGGATTTAAATTTAAGAGCCTACCTTGGATTCTAGTCCTGTATCCTCCACCTCTTACCACCTCTGTAATCTTAGGCAAGTTGCTTAACCTTCCTAGGCCTTACTTTGTAAAACTTACATGTTTTGGGGAGTTATTTTCTTTTTGAAAAAGGGCCTTTGTATTCATAAATACCCCGTGATATGGTTTGACTTAACTGTTATGTTATGACTTAAAGGTTTTTGTCTCTGTAACCACAAAAAAGAGTTGTTTGCCACTGAAACATCTACTTTAGACTCCAAAAATGAGTACATGAATTCTTATATGTAGAATAGTTAATTATCTCTGTTACATAGTGAATATTTGGTATATTTGTAGTTAAATAGCAGTTAAGGCATGGAAACAAAACCTCATTAAATGTAAACTAAATATTGATGTTTTACATGTCTTATTAGATTTCTATTATCAGAAAAATAGTAACTAAGAGAACTGCTGCTAGGGTTGGGTAAACAGTCTTTGGGACATGGTAGCTTTAGAGTCTTTTGTCAAGTTTCATTACATATTGTTACAAGCAAACAAGATTTGATTAAATATGCTGTATGCCTGCAAATCCTGCTTTTTTCTTTTTGTGTGAATTCTACTGAGCCAATATGTAGAGTACTGAATTTATACCCAGGAGTTAGAGGTTTTTACCTTTTACCACTTTGTTTCCACTGCTTCTTTAACTAGTCATTAAACCTCCCTAGTCAGATTCATAGTGTCTTAAAATGAGTGAGTTAAGTCATCTTGAAGCTCTGTGAGTGTCTTCTGAAAACTTCACTTGAAAAAACTTAGTCCATCCTTGTTACTGGGATATTTTTTATGCCCCATCAAATCGCCTCTGCTATAATTCTAACTCATTTATTCTGATTTCAACTTCTAGTCCATTTATTCTGATATTCAGGACAAGACCAAGTCTTTTCTTCCATCTGCAGTGAATTATTCTGATATTGAGGATAAATTCTGATATTTCTGACATCTGCAGTGAATTATTCTATGTATCCTTTTGTAACATTGAATTTATGATCCACTCAATGAACTAACCAATAAGTAGTAGTATATACTTAAAATTGAGCTTTTTAGTGTCTAAAGATGAAGAACATCTGGCTATTCTCTAAAAATTCACTCTAGATTAAACTTGTTTTGCTTAATGTTGCTTGAATGCAAACAAGATTTTAGCTTCACTTACTACCACTTTTCCTCTTATATTCATTATTTCCTCAGCTTCTTGCATAAATCTCAGTGTTGATCTGTGGGATTAGAGATCACTGCATATGGCAGCAGACATCTGTGTTGTTTTGCAAGTGTTAGGTTGTTCTAAGCTTTTCTTCTTTATACCAGTGGGAGTATTAATGCATAGGAAAAACAGGAAAGACAACAGTAATCTGATTAGGTTTAATTCTACCTTAAATATTTATGGTATTAGGGATAATTTACATTGTATTTTGATGATGCTGGAAGAAAAAAAACTTTTAAATTCTTAGATGCAAAGTTATTTATTGGAAAATTTATCTGCATTATTGCTCTAAAGTTACATTACTCCAAAATTGTGTTGCTTGTGTTAGAATAGACCCATGGCATTTTGACATCCATGAATTTGACAGTAACTCCATGACATAGTTTTGTTAATGGTATTTTTTTAGAGATGGTTAGCTAGTACATGAGTGAGCCTGGTAGATTGTGCATCCTCTGGCATTTCAGTGTAGTTTTGTTATCTTTCATCCTCAAGTTTATTAAGGGATGTTTTCAATCCATGCTTTACATACTATTATTTTTTTCTTTTAACTTTGAATTTTTGACAATTTAAGACTTAAAAGGTTGCAATAATAGTACGAAGAATTTGCAAATATCTTTACCCAAATATTCCCCAGATATTGATATTCTACCACCTCTGTTTTATTCTTTTTTCTTCCTCCATTCCTCCATCTAAATATGCACATACTATTTTTTTCTGCACCTTTTGGAGTGAGACATGTTGCTTTTTATATCTAAGTATTTTTTTTCAGTGTGTATTTCCTAAAATAAGGAAATAATCTCTTGTGTTACCGTAGTACAGTTATCAAAATCAGAGCGTTAGATAATAGGTCCACATCAGTGTTAGCTGTAGACCTTATTCAGATTTTGCCTATTGTTCAATTACGTTATATTAGCAAAAGAAAGTCTGGGATCAGCACACATTGCATTCAGCTGTCATAGCTCTTTAGTCACTTCTAATCTGAAACAGTTCCTCAGTCTTGTTTATTTACATTTTTTGGAAGGTTATAGGTCAGTTATTTTGTAGTGGTCCCTCGGTTTGGGTTTGTCTGATGTTTCTTCATGATTAAATTCAGGTTATGCACTTTTAGCAGGAACACCACACAAGTGTTCTTAGTGCATCATATCAGAAGGCTCATGATACTGGTTTGTCTTATTTATTACTGGTGGTGTTAACTTTGATCACTGGTTAAGGTGGTATGTGCCAGGTTTCTCTGTGTAATTAATAGGTCCAAGCTATCTTTTTAGTGTGAAGACTAAATTCTTTTTTTTTTTTTTTTTTTTTGGTATCATTAATCTACAATTACATGAAGGACATTATGTTTACTAGTCTCCCCCCTTCACCACGTACCCCCCCCCACATCCCCGTTCACAGTCACTGTATGAAGACTAAATTCTTAATTCCGTGGTTAAAAGAATTTTAATTCACTTAGCATATTGACTCTTAAAAGTGGGCCTAGAGTTTTCAGTCATTAATTTCATTACAGAGAATCTTTTAATTTGGTATAGTAGCTTTGTTCTTGGCATGTGGCAATCTTTTAAATATGTATCAGTATGCCAAATCAGAATGTCTTTTTGACCTTTGAGAAACTTACATGGGGAGCAGTGGGTTTGAAAACTACCTAACAAATTTTGATCTAGGCTGTAGTGGAGTAACTCACGTGTCTGCTTTTTTCACAATTTTTGGAGGGACTGAAGAATTTCAGTCCTTTTTGTTCCACAGTTTGGAACAGTTGCATTACCTTACACTTTACTTTGAACTTGATCCATATTTCCATTAGAGTAGAAATAGGCATATGTCTTTTTTATTTCTTTAGTCAGTTATATTTAAAGCTATCTTATATTAATATTTTACTTTATACTTAGGTCTCCTATAAGAGACCCTGATACAGGAATGATAGAACAGAATTCTTTTCTTTCTAATCTTACCTATCCTTTGGACATCTTGACAAGGGACTGCACAGCAATCAGTGTATCACATACATTTGCTTATAAAGGAGAACATGCCCTTGAAAAAGGAAAATATTTGCATCTGGTTTAGCAAGTTGCTAGTCCAGTCCCCTGCCCTCTACCTTAATAACCTCTAATCAGATGCCAGCTAAAAGGTACGTGCTTCCAATTTTCTTACCACAGTTTTTTTAAGCGATACAGTCAGCCACAAGAGACATAAAATAAATTACTTGTGTAGCCTCTTAGTGCCCATTCTACCTGAAAGAAAATTACTCCCAGTTTTCTGACTGACACTTTCTTTTCTTTATTGCTTATTGGCATTTTCATCAGCGGACATCTTTTTGGTGACTGGAGCAAATGTGGCAGTAATCCATTTCCATTAACAGTGTGCAGTACTTGTAGACACTTACACAACACCGCTCAAATGTCTTGCTTTGTAATGAGATCTCTTTAATCATTTAACTTTCTGTGTTCTCTGAGAACTCTGCCTTTTCCTTTTCCTTTCTTCCAGTATTTGCTTATCATGTAGGAACCTCCAAAATATTTTTTGTTTTGGTTCCCTTAACTTAATCCTCAAAAGAACTTGTAAAAAAAAAGTTAAAATTTGTAGAGGGTCGTATTTAATCATTTGCATTTGAAAAAGATGAGTCATCTAATTTGGAATTAGAGAGAAACATAAAGAATAAAGAGTGAGTGGTGTAGTTTTACAGTAAGCTGATGATCTTTGTTCGTTAACCACTGGCCTGACTGAATGACTGTCTTCTCCTTTACCCTTGACACACTCCAGTCCCAGCCCTTTTCAATGAAAAGACTCTAAATGAAAAATCCATATCCTTTTAATTTAAAAAAAAATTCTAGTCAGTAGCCTCTCTATTATGATCTAACTTTTCCCTTTGTGCTGCTTCAGCTTGCAACTGCTGTCAACCTTCTCACACATAAATTTTAGCATCTCTCCACAAAAAAAGCATAAGAAAAGGTATACTATCTGTCAGTGTTTTTGTTAGTTTACATTATCAGTCAACTAAGTTTCTGTTGTTTGGCTTAAGGAAATTAGTTCTTAATTTAGACAAAATGTATTAAATTAATACATTTCTTCTCTAGCTTTTTAGTAGGGAAAATTTCTAACATACCAAAAGTAAGATAGTATCATGAACTCCCAAGGAGCCATCTGTCAACCAGTCTTCCCTACCGTTCCCTCTCCATTACTTTGAAACAAATCCCAGGTATTGCATCATTTCACTTGTAAACATTTCATGATGTATATCTAAAAGACTAGGACTTAAACCCATAACAACAAAACCACTTAAAAATTGGCAATAATTCCTTATTATCATCTATTATCCAAACAATATTAAAATTTCCTGTCTCAAATCTTTTTTTCACAGTCCAGATTAGAATCCACCTGATGTTCACACATTCCAGTTGGTTGATATGTTTGGACCATTTTGAAAATACTTTTTCTTTTTTACCCCATAACTTTGTTTTGTAATTTTTCAAGTATTACAGAAATAATACAATGAACACCAATATACCTTTCATCTAGAATCATCAATTTACCACATTTGGTTTATTTATACATGTTATAATATACTTTTTCTCCTTTTGCTCAATCTTTAGAAAATAAATTGAAGACATTGTGAGACTTAACTACTAACTATGTGAGCATTTTTTCTTAGAACAAGGCATTCTCCTATATAATCTCAATACCATATAATTTCATATCTAGGAAATTTATGTTTATACAGTATTATCTAATGTGCCACTCACATTCACATTTCTCCTAAGTGTACTGACATCCTGTATAGATTTAGTTTTTACAGTTTAAATGTAGGATCTGGTCAAGGATCATACATTGTATTGATGGATTGTTTTGTATCTGAGCTATCAAATAGAGAAGCCACTGGCCACAGGTTGTTAATTGAGTACTTGAAATATGGCTAGTGGACTGAGGAATTGAATTTGAAATTTTACTTAATTTTATAAAAATGGATGTAGAACATTTATCCCTGTCTTTTAAATATATTTTATGACAATAACCTTTTGAAGAGTCTTGGCCAGTTGTCTGTCTTGTAGAATGCCCCTCAGTCTGGATTTATCGAATTATTTCCTCACGATAAATTCATTTTAAACATTTTTGGCAGGAATACACAGGTGTCCTTCATAGGAATACATTGTGTCCTTTATAGTCCATCATAATGCATGTCAAATTATCCCAATTTAAGAATTCCCTTACCTTTTGAGGGTATTTTATTTGGAGGGAGTGCTGGGAGAGCAAAGAATAAGAATGACTAAGATACATTCTCTGTTTGTGAGGAGTTTATAACCTAGTCACAGGGAACTGCTTTTAGTCAGTGTAATTAAGACCAAATAAAATGTGTTAAATAAATATACTTGCTGTAGAGGAGTGTAATAACATTTATTCGTGTAGTTAGTTACTTATCATATTCCTACTATATGCTCTGTGTTGGAGATACAGCAGGGAATAATGTAGACATAACTTTGTTGGTCCTTACAGAGTTTTAAATGTTCAGTGAAAGAGGTAGGCACTAAACAATTAGTTTTGATAAGTGTCATATAAAATCTTAAGTTGAATAATTATTTAGTTACAGTTTAACTTTAGGAGACACTTATAAACATTATCTTTCCCTCCTTTTTCAAGATCTTTTGAGATTTTGGCATGTTGTGAAGTTTCGCTGTTCCCTACACAGCCAAGAAAAATACCTAAGGTGTCTGGTAGTGCAAATTTATTTTTATTTTTCTGTTACAGTGACTGTGTGTGTAGATTTTTTAGTAGTGGTAGACTGAAAATACTTCCATGGTTTAATTTAGATCTAAGCCCGTTAATTACGTATCTCTTTAAAACCAATATTTATTACTGGTGGATCTTTCCTCTAAAATGAAAAACCTTTGTTTCTCCTCTTACCCTACAGAAAACTGTTAAAATAGGAGGTTGACTCTAATCAGTGGCTGTTGGAAAAAACTTCAAGTTTTTGTATTCTATGCTAAGTTTATTGACAGTCTTCCTTGCAAATTTATCTTCTACGTCTGTGTATCTTTTACATCAACTATTGGTGGTTCTATTCACACTGAGTATTGCTGTTTCTTCTTTTCCACTCAGAGATATACCGTATTGTTTCCCAGAAGCAAATGTCAGACAGACGTGAAAATGACATGTCTCCGAGCAACAATGTGGTTCCTATTCATGTTCCACCAACCACTGAAAACAAGCCAAAGGTGCAGTGCTGTCAGAACATATAATGCGTTTCTCTTCTCCCCTAGAAAGCTGTGTATAGTCCATTTCCCAGGTCTGAGATTTAAATATATTTGTAATTCTTGTGGTCACTTTTGTGTTTTGTTACTTCCTCATACTTATGAATTTTTCCATGTCTTAAGTCTTTTGATTTTAGCTTTATAAAATCATCCACTTGTTCTGAACGACTGCAGCTTTTTTTCATGCTATGGCTTCACTAGCCTTAGTTTAATAAACTGAATGTTTGGATTCCTCAGTTATTGTTTACTTTTCATCATGGAAGCCTGTCACTGTAGGACATAATAGAACTTGATCACTTGAAGCTCAGATTTGATTGGTCTTGATCAAATCAAACTAAGAAGACTTTAGAAATAAGCTATCATTTTGCAACAGCAACTTAGAATGAAAGCTTAGAAATTCATACACTCTTCTTTCAGTGCAGTGTGTATTTCCACAAATCTAAGAATTGCTGTATAGACATAAGATTTTGAGAGCTTGAAAATTTTCCATTATTCTGGAAGTCCTTTTCTAAAATGCCTTAATAAGGTGACATAGTTTAGTAAATTTTGTCTTTTAATTTTTGTAAGCATCAAAGTTGATTAGAAAGGGAGCCACTTTTTTTCTGGACAAGAATTACCTTAATAAACACAAAAGACTGTTAATAGTTTCAGTAGCATTATAGTTAAATGGGGCCATGTGTTAAGCAGTGCTGCCCTGGCAGGCTGGGAAGTAGGCGTGGAATTCCATCTGAGGTGCCTCTGTTGCAGTTATCAGGCAGCCCAAGTCATTTAATTTATCTAATTTCCCAGCGGTAGATTATGCGGCATTTTATTGCTCAGGCAATAACTGGTTTAATGCTCTTAGTATCAAATTGTGAAGTGTTAGTTTTGTCTTAAACCTTCTAATAAATGAAATAATCCTAGTTTTCATCACCATGTCCACCAGGCATGGATAATTATTTTAACAATGCTGATTTTTGAGTTTCGGAATATAGTCCAGTTAAGTACTTGGTTTTAGTGTGTCTAAAGAATACAGTGAGAGGTCAGTTTCTGCTCAAGTGGTACCACTTAATGGCATGAATTCTTTTAGTACATAGGTGAAATAGTACCTGGAGTTTAAATAGGGTGCATTTAGGCATTATACAAACCTGAAATGATTTTTCCCACTACATTATTGAAATCAGTGGAGCAAGTAGGTTCTCATTCAGAAATGTGCACACTAATATTTAGTTTAATTTTGTTGTGGATAATATTAAGCACTTAACTCTGCAGTGTTCTGAAAGTTGTGTCCTCTGAAGTGATACTATTCAGGATGGTGGAATATCCCAAAAAATATATGTGTGTGTGGGCTTGCAAAGATAACTATGTTTCATAGTTAATCTTGTCTTTTGCTTGCGGTGCTCATGACGTGTGGGGTGCACGGAAGGCATTGCTTTGGTCAGTCATTTTGGTTTTCTTCTGTAGCCATTTTATTATTTTAGTGTATTGGTTATGAAGATACTATTATCTATTTGTAAATCGCTACTTTGTATTTTATGCATGCTCTGTAACTTGATTTTTTTTTTTTTAGTTAATTGTTTTGGAATCTATTCACATTCTAATAAACAGTTAATAGGGGGACAATTCTTTATGTTGTCAGATTATATTTTTCTTTGAGTGTTTTGGATGCAGCCATGGGATATTTTGATTCTGAAAAATAGAGCATAGGTCCTTGCATTCCAGAGTAAACATTGAATTAGAGGTATTGTGTGAATTCAGCTTTGATTTTAGACATACAGTTCAGTTATTTTTTTCTTGGAAAAAGTATTACCAAAACATTAGGGAAATAATCTCTGTACTTCCATACATAGCAGTATCACCAGACCCAGGAAATGGTTCTGTCACTATTTTACTCAAGATTGGCAGCAAGTTTTTTACAAAAATACTTAAGGGAAGGACAGTGTAGGTAATTTCTCCTATATTTTTGAAATATATTTTCTCTTATTCATGAAAATGAATAAAGTAACTTTGAATTTTACTAAGTTTAGTAAATGTTGCCACGGAATGGATCTTGGGAGAATTTCAAGAAACCTTTAGTTGTAGAAAATGGCTCTGAATGTCTCTCAAAAAGTGTATTCATTCTGATGGTATTTCAGGAGACAAACTCTCAAGAAACATTAAGTTTTTAAATATTATACAAAAATTTAGGGCTCAGGGCAGGTTAGAAGTATTTTGCTGCTTGACCCTGCTTTTCAAGTTACTTTAACTTTGAATATTTAGCCTGTTGTATTTTCTTAAAAAGTCAATTAGCTGTCTTGACTTGATTTAAACTAGTATGTCGTTGTTCTCAAGTGCTGTATATGGGGGTTTTTTTTAGTAGTAGTTGTTCTATAAGGGTAAGTTATCTTTAACCATTGCATTGAGTATGTGAAATTTACTTCTAAGAGGGGTGCTAGCCAGTGACTACACTGGAGGTCTTTTACGTTGAGAAAGATTATGCAGAAAAATTAGACTTCCAAGTTTGGATTGCCCATGAGAGCTGGTCATATTTATTTCATAACTGGGAAAATGAACATCTTAATTTTTATTTTTAGTGATACTGTATTTACAAAATAAAAGCACTCAGTGGTTTGAGCTATTGTCATAATCTCTTCTACTATAAAGAGAAAATACTACTTGTTTTAGACAGTTTTAGCCAATACCAGAAGCAGAATAATTGGAAGGCTGGTGGGTAATTGAGACCTTACTCCAACCTGCTAGGTTTCAAATTGCCTTTTTTCTTTTTGGCAGAAGAGAAAAATGGAGACTGGTTACTTGGTATCTCACAAACATCTTAAACCTGACAAAAAAAATCAAAACAAAATACGTATTTTGTATAAAGACTCTTCCTGACATCCATTTCCTGTGTGGGGGGAAAAAAGAAAACAAACCATGAAGGCACCCTTTTCCACTGCATCATTTAATGGGTTAGCATTGAGTGTGAAAGAGGAGGGGGCTGATTTTTGTTCTGGTTGGGGTGGTGCTGGTGCCATACCCCTTCTGGAATTTGATAGGTCAGCTTTCCCAGTCACCTCTACAAATGCCAAATAAACTGGAGTTGTCATTCCAATGTTTTAAATGGTGTTTCCCCAAATTTAGGAGGCTGATGTTAACAATGAAGTAATAGAGTACTAATATCATTACAAGGTACATAGGGGGAGACCATTAGGCTGAGAGATCATTTTAGTTGAAGTATCTATTTCCCTGAAAATTGACTTGGAGGACAGAGAGATAATATTTGAAAGGATGATATTTGGCATGTATTAGGAAGAGTGCTAAACTCTGAGTTGAAAGACTGACAGTCGCAGGTATATCAGAGCAGTAGACTAGTTGACAAAAGACTTGAATTCTAGTCACAGCTCTTCTGGTCATTTTGTCTCAGCCTTACCTTCTTCCATTTAATGAGGGGACTGTATTAGATAATTTCTGGGGTTCATTCTAGCTCTAATTCAGTAATTCTGTGAACTCTTTCTTCAGGTAGCAGAGCCTAATCATTACACATTCTAACTCAAATTTAAATGTAATTGATGAGTAAAAACCAGGTGTACACTTTGCTAATGTTTTTGGTCTTAGTAACTTTATTAAAATGTTACCTTCATTTCCATGTTAACTCCATTAAATAAGATAAAAGCTTTCAGACCATTTGCAAAATGACTGTCAATTTCAACAGTATGCATCAGAGCATATGTGTTACAGTATGCATCAGAGCATATGTGTTACAGTATGCATCAGAGCATATGTGTTAAGTGGGGAGGAGCACTTGATGGGCTGCTCTGTAAACTAAATCGAGAACTGCTTGTTTTTTGGCTTTTACTATTAAAAAAAGTTTCAGCTGGCTTTTAATATGTACTTTAAAATGCATTTAGTCTGAGGGAGAGAACTTTTAAAAACTTTTTGTGTTCAATTTTTTATTACTACCTCACAGGAATCTACAAAAAGGTACAGCAATCCAATCTATTGGATAGAGCTAGTTATTCAGTAGAACCAATGATTAAATCCAAATGTATAGGTTACGTTTATACACATGATATAAATAGTACTGTGTGGCTGTTAGCATAATAATAATTAGTCTAAACATTTGAATTCAATTATTTAACATTATTAAGCATGGAACTGATAGGTCCTGGCACAGATGTCATGTATACTGGCTGTTAACCACTCTGTTGCCAGTACTAGGACTTGGTAGTGAAACAACAGGATTACTTTCCTATGTTTGAGTCAGTAGACTTAACTCTGCCCCAGACCACAAAATCTCAGAGCCTGTTAGCCACATCCCATTGAGTAAGTATACTGCTTTTGGCAGCCATTTCCCTACCAACCACCTCCAGTCTCTCAGCGTACCATATTTTAGATCTCTAGGCAAGTGGTATGGTTCCTTGTCTTACCTATAAGAAGTTGCTGACCATTGTGCTAGACTCTGCCAAAGCATTTATTTAATCATATGGCTCTAAGAATATTTTAGAATAAGGTCATGGCTCATTCTGGGAAGCCCAAGAAGCAACACTTTCTGTAGGCTCTCTCTGATGTGAAACTAACCATGGAGGATGTTAGGATCCTCAGGTACTGGTTTTGGTTTCCATTTAAGTGGATACCCAAGGAACAGTGCTTTGCGCGATCTCAGGTCCCGATGCTTTCTCTCAACCCAAGGCTCTGGGGGGTCATCTGTGGGTTAGACAATGGCTTTGGGGAGGCAGGAGCTAGAACGAGGAGGGAATCTGACAACTGTACCTACAGAACAGAGCTTCTACCTTCTTTGGGTTTTGATTGGATCTCTGCTAAGTCTTTCTAGTTTTGCAAGTCGGGAAGAAAATGTATAATCAGCACCCCACTAATGTCCAGGGCCTTCCATTTATCCCTGCCCTTTTGTAATTGCTGCATTGTAAGATCCACAAGGGCAGGGAATGTCCCATGTTCATATTTACATTCCCAGTGTCTATCCCCCCTATAACCTCATGTCAGAACAATAAGAAAGTACCAGCTAAAGGGGCTAATCCTAGGGTTCATTCTAGTTTGGTTTGTGGAGTTATAATCAAAATTACCATTTAGGCAGTGAAATTTTTTCATTAAAAATTATATAAATGCTGTATACTAATTATACAGAAATATAGTAGTATAATGAGTCCTTATGTATCCACCCATTCCCTTCTGAGAGTCTCCATCTCCTTTTGCCACATACTGAGTAAATGGGACTCTTTTGTCTTTCCTCTGGTTAGATAAATGGCTCATAGAATGTATCATTCTTGAATTTTCTGTATTGAGTGCACAGCCTGCAGCCTTTGGTTATCATTTATAGTGTTAGGTATTATTCAGAGCTTCTTAGTCATAATCTTAACACTATTATTCTCAGTAAATACCTTTTTTTAGCTTTATAACTTTTGATAGTCTTATCTTTTACTGAGATGTCAAGTTCTACCCCTTGAGAATTCTGTTAGTAAGATAATTTCTGAATGAGTCTTAATCTCTAACTAGCAAAATTATTCTTGGTTAAACATTTTATTAAATGTGAATAACTTGAGTATCATGTAAGTTTGTGAACTGACAAGTTAGAAAGTTTTTAGTTTGCTGGAAATAGGATTGTTTGCAAAACCGTTGAAAGTATGAAGGAGCAATTTTAAACATATCATTGAGTGCATTCAGTAAGCTATTCTTTAGCATCTGTATTTTATTGTAATTTAATCTTGCTGCTGCTTTACCAGTTAAGCCACAGGGTTATGTTTTAAAAGGTCCTAAAAGAGATGTACCTAGAATACTGTACTGGGTTAATAATTTCTACTAGTGGAAAGCTATTCATTGTACTTATGCAAATTAGGTGTCCCTTACACTTGCCTTTATTCCATTCCATAGAAGTACCTTTGTGCCTCTGGAGCTGAGCAGAGCTCAAACAGTTGTCTTTGAGTCCAGATCTTAGTGAAAGCAGGAAATTCTCTTTTTTGTATATACAGATGTATATGACATTTTTCAAAAGTTTTTGGACAAGAATAAGATTATGTTGTTCCCATTCATTACTTTAAAGGAAGAGACTCTGTTGTAAATGTGTTAGACTTTTTCACTTTATTTTTAAGCATCTAATTGGGATAATTTTCACTTTTCTGGCTGGCTGTAGTAACCACACAAAATGTAGGTTATTTATACCCTTAAACCTAAGGGGTAGATTATAGATACATTTTCAGTTTACAACACAGCAGTAGGCATTCTTGTTAAATTAATTTGAGAAATTCATTTTATTTTGTACATGGTATGATCCCTCTACACAGTGAACAAATATATTACAAATCTGGATTGTTTAAAAAAGTATTGCCATTTCACAGTCTTATGCTATTGTACAATAATAGTATTTTCTTTATTCATATGAATTGTATGCATATCACTTTGAATGAAAACTTAATTTCTGTAAAATAATAGAACAGCTCTTTCCAAGTTGCCAATAAAATGCACAGTGCACATGTTTAGGTTGACCGTGAACCTATTTGTGACAGTGCTAGGCAGAAGTTCCTAACAGTTGCTCTGTAAGGTTGAAATATACCAGTAATGCGTAGATACATGAAGGCAGCTGTTGTCACCATAGATTAATCACACCCTCTGCCTTTCCCTTTTCTCTATCGCCTGATTTTAGTTGTATTACGTTTCCTTAAAAATCATAGAATGTGACCTGAAGGGTTTTTAACTCCCCCTTACCTGATTATCCCCCCTTTTTTAATAAATGGGGAAAAAAGGAGCCCAGAGAGGGCAAATAACACTCAAATCTCTTGACCCAGTGCTTTAGCAATTCGACTATGCCACTTCTTGCTGACTTTTGCCCAGATGGTAGTTGGCAAAGAAGAGGTGAAACTTGGATGCTGCTTGTTTGCAGTTTGTCAGGCAGCGGTTATTACACATGGAGGGTAAGGGGAGAAGATAAACCTGGGATTGAGCTGAAGTTTCACCTTGCTGGCCCTACTTCACCATGTTTCTTGATCCTGGCTTCACAAAGATAATTGAGCATTTGCTGCCCTGAAATACTGAGGTAAGTCTCTTATCTATATCTGTTTCTACATATGAATGAGAAATACATACTTGGGTCTACAACGTAATTTTCTAGTATATTTTAATAAGGCTTTTTTGGAAAGAAAATTTGCTATTGCTGATCACTTGCTCCCATGCACACATGCAGCATTCATGTAAGTATATTTCCCTGTAACAATAAAACTGGCTTATGCCTTGAGTGAAATTGGGAGGGGGCATTTACTTGTTTATTTTCTTGATTTTGCTTCTTATCGCCCATGGGTTCTATGGCAGATATCCAATCTGTATCAAGAGCTCCAGAACTCCCGTGCTTCCTGGAACAGCTATTTCAACTTTGCCGTCACTTAGTTCCTCTTCTGTGTACCTTTCTGGAAGCATTTTTTACTGGCTAGACTTAACCAGAGAATGGAGTGGAACAGGGATGGCCATTAATTTCCTCAGTTTGCCCTTTTAGTCTTTTAATTCTTGTGAGGAGGTCATCTTTTTAGGGCTTGAGAATTGTCTCCCAGTTTACCTGTGTTCATTAGTAGCGGAAGGTATAAATAGATCTGAATACTGGGTTCTGGAGCTTTAGCTCATTGTAATACATTTTTGGCCATCTCAGTGGTCATTTTAATGTAGAAGATAGGAGTACCTTATATCCTTATATGCTGTCTATATAAAGTTCTTACATTATTACAACTGATTACAGGATAGTCTTCCATCATTTCCTTTAGTTCCATCAAAAAGCATGATGTACTTCAAGCAGTTTAAACTTTTGCAGTATCCACTTTTGTCTAATTTCCTCCATACCTTAAGGTTCCATACTATGTCAAGCTCAATATTTATAGAGAAGTGCTTCCTCTGAATCAAGGAATGCCAACCAGATAATTTTGGGAGGCTAAGTAGCCATTTTTAGGATACTTAATTCTTACCGGTCTGTGCTTGCTTAAAGCATCATCTCAGAGTTCTGTTTCACATGGAATAACTCAGGAGTGAATGGACTAAGGAGATATGACAAGGCCAGGACTGACTTGCAGTGTTCTTGAACTTTGAATTGGCAAGATTTGGTAAATCTGGCCTAGAAATCATTGTCATAGTCTGAAAGAGACAGCTGTACTTTTGAAACTTTTTTTTTCTCCTACTACCACCAGGGGCAGAAGAGAGAAAGTTAATTTGTATTTATTGAAGTCTCATTTTTTAAAAATTGAAAATGTCAGCATTAGACTATATACTAAACTCTGTGATCTTGGCTGCTGTAATTTGATGGACCAGACATATATGTACAGGTACTTCAGGATTGAAATTAGTACAGTTTGTGTCTATGTACTAATTATCTTAGGTGATAAAAAACAGATGTTGATGGTAACAGCAACCAAAAGTACATATACATTTCAGGTGCTTTAAAGTAATCCTCTCCCCTCCCCAGTCCCCTTTTCTCCTCAAACCTATTCTACATAGTTTTTAAGCATCATGTTTCAGATAATTATATATATAAATATATATATTTAGCTGATGTTGATGAGTAGCTGTACCTTAAATGTTTTAAAAGATCATATAATACAGGGCATTTGGGGTTGGGGTAAATGGGTGATAGGAGTTGCCTTTGTGAACGACCTTTTGAGCAATTACCCCAGTCCCACTTGGAAGCTCTTCTTTAGTTCCAGGTGAAAGTAATAACTAACATGCAGCTGGAGTCAGTCTGTATCATTATTTCAAGTTAAGGGATTGTCTTCTTTCAGAGAGTCAGAATATTCAGCAGAGCACATTGCAAGAGAGTAGCTTATCCCTCTTAAGACTGCTTGTCCTGGGAGGGCCCATTGGCAGGGCTTTGTCTTATTGGGAGGAGGTCATAGTGACCAGGAATATGGCTGTTCCTAGGTAGGTCGTATGGATTCTGGATATAGCTGAAGTTATGACCACGGCCTTCTTGGACCACACTGACTGTGGGCTCTAGGGAATATAGTGAAAAATGAGTTCAGAGAACAGATTAGCTTTGGTTGCCTTATTGTGGGGGGTGGGGGATTCTATTTAACTCAGTGGAGAGAGAAGCCAGGGATTTATAAATCTGTGATAACATATGAGGATTTGGATTGAGGCTTGAAAAGGGAAAACCTAAGTGGGTGTGCTGTCACAATCCCAAGCTCTGGTCAAAACCAAGAGATTTAAAATATACTAGAGGTAGGGATCTTATCATTGAGCCCAGTGACATAAATTAAACTGGGAGATAGAAGGTGGTGATTTAGAAACTTGAAATGTCCTTATTGTTTACTTTTTTGAACTATGATTTGTATTACTGATCAGTTGAAGTGTATGTGTGTGTCTCTCCACTCCCCATTTCCCACCCGTGATTCTGCTTCATGCTAGTTCTGGTGTTTTTTAAAGCAGAATTGGCATAAGAATTTGATTTCCTGCATGAGAGAGGAGGGCAGCCCTGGGAAAGACATTTCACCTTGGATTCCTTAGAAAGCAACAAAAGAAGGTTGTGTTTTCAAGATAGGGTGAGTGGAGAGGGCTTTTTTTTTTTAACTGCAGATGCTGTACTATTGCCCTGATTTCACTACATACTTATTTGAAACACCTACCAACTTCATATATATTTTTATTAGATGTCGACAAGGATGGCACATCTATGTACGGAGAGCCCCTGTGCACAGGCGACTTCATTTCTACATAGCTGCTTTCTGGAAGCTTGCAGGTGAGGATGGGTGGGTCCTTAATTGTAGCATAAGGGTTTTCACTGCTATTCAAAGAACAAGTGCTAGAACTGCACGCGGATTCTTTCATGTAATCTGCAAGGCAAGAGAGATTCCTTAGGACAAGCAAGGACATAGGACTTCATTTAAATACCAGAAGCAGACTTGAGTTTATGTGCCTTCAGGGTCCTGGAGCTGTAAAACCTTATGATAATACAAGATTTACTTATTAAACATACTGTGGAGTGCTTTCCTCTGTAGGCAGAATTCTTTTTCTAAAGAAACATGTTTTTGGAGGGATAGGAACATTTTGCTTTTAATAGGTATAGCACCAGAAAGGGATTAACTCAAAATATTCATAATAAATTTTCACATCTATTACTCAGTTTTTACAAGATTCTGCAAGGTTGTTGCTAGTTTGCATTTTATAGGATGAAGGCCCAGAGAGATTAAGTGATTTGGCTAAGGTTACATAGCTCATAAATGGCAGTGCCAAGACTTGAATCTCCATGCCTTGGGACTCCTTGGCCTGTGTGTTTTTTGTCATATCATTCTTCTTTTGAATTCGTTCTGTTGGCTAAGAAGCTTAGGATCAGAAGAAGTAGAAGTGTATTTTGGCACAGGTGTCAGCAGTTTGGCAACCTTCAGGCAGCAAACCCTGGCAGCATTCCTGCTTTCAAGACGCTCGTGATCAGAAGTGGGGCAGCCTTAAGTGTAATAGAGGTGTTCAAAGCACCTCCGTCTCAAGCTAGCCTTTGGAGAGGTCCTGATTTCTAGCAAGTCTGCAGTATGTCCTCTAGGGTCACCCTATAGTTCTCATGAATGCTAACTGAAATTTATTTTAGCAGTGTCTCTCTCTGATACTAGGAGAGCTCATGCTTCCTCTGTTGCTGCCTCTCAGTGCATTATCCCCAAGACTGCAGAGCATGTTAGGATAAAAGGATGCAAACTAGTTTATAAATAGGAAGCGAGATAAAGATCACTGTTGACTACCAAGCCCCTGCCAAATGAGGCAGGACTTGCCTAGAGAGAACAGTAGACTCTGTAATCTGGCAGCTTTCTGTGGGGCTCATCCTTCTGTGGGACTCTGCCAGCCAGGGGGTCTAGAAATACACACTGAGTTGCAGAGGGTTGATAGTCAAGGGTGATCTAAGAGGTCTGAATTTCTATATGTGGTAGCAGGTGGCGAAATTCTTGGGTGATCCTTTACCAGGACCACCACAAATTACACTGCAGGCTGCTGGTGATCTGTGCTTTCTGTCTCTTGTGAGATTAAAATATGAAAAAGTGAAAGTGATAATGTAACGAACTCAGGGGGTGATTAGATGTAACTTGGTCCATTGAGAGCAGAACACTACACACAGCTGAAGTAGTAGAGATGTGTGCTACCACAGTAGTCTTTTCTCCCATAATAGGTAAGTGGTTGGGAGGGGATTTACATTTAGTTTAGTATAGGGTTATTGGTATAACCCTATACTAAAAGCTTTAGCATTTCCTCAATCTTGTACAAAAGTAAAATGACCCATCAGTCCCTTCAAGTGTTCACACCACCCTGTGATGTGGGCAGAACAGTGTTATTCCTCTCCCCCTCCTCTCCCTTTATTGCTTATGGGAAAAACTGAAGTTTAGAATGGGGATGTAACTTCCCCAGAGTCACATTGCTCATCAGTAGCAGAGCCAAGCTTAGAGCACTTCCCATCACAACTTGGCCTACAGATAGAGATGTTGGCCTCGGTCCCATATGAGGTTGTGGCCTCTTCCTAGCATAGAATCTTAGAAAAGAGGAGAAAATATACTTGGTAGACAATGAGCAGTCCCAGCAAGGACTAGAGAGGCTGGATAGGCCAGCTGCTGGTCTGGCGCTCATGGGGAAAGGTGGCTGTGGGTCCTGGGCCATGACCTGCCCAGGGCCACATGAAGTTGCCTCTAGTGAGCACTTTGTTTCTTAGTACAAGGGAGTGGGGCTAAGTACGTCCAGGAACCCCAACATGGCCCCTTTGGAGTCTGTGAACTCACCAGCCAACGGGTAAGGCAATATGACCCAGAGCTGCTTATTTGGAAGCTAAGGACTAGTACTGATTAAAGAAGGGCTCTCTCCTGGGTGTCCCCTCTTCCCTACCCTGACACATCCTTTTATCTTGATTGGCAGCTGCCTCTGCATATTTTCTAAAACTTGAGCAATAGCAATAGCTTACTTTATGTAGCACTTATAGTTAGTCTTCATTCTGGTTAGATTATTTGAAGCTGGTTAATTTGTGAAGGATGCTGGGCAGGAAGAACTATCAATTACTACTTTAGAAATGATGAAACTAAAGCTCATAAATTCTGCTATGTTAGTAAGTACAGTTGACTCTTGAACAACATGAGTTTGAACTGTGTGGGGTCCACTTATACATGGGCTTTTTTCAATAAATATATTGGAATTTTTTTATGGAGATTGGTGACAATTTGAAAAAACATTTTCTCTTTGTTTTAAGAATACAGTATTAAAATACACTTACAAAATATGTGTTAGCCAACTTCATGTTATGGGTAAGGTATTTAGTTAGAAGAAGGCTGTCAGTTGTTTAGTTTGGGAGAATCAAAAGTTATACATGGATTTGCAACTGTGTAGGGGGTCAGTGCCCTTAGCTAACTCCTGCATTGTTCAAGAGTCAGTTGCAGTTTGAGTTAGGACATAACTCCTGTCTTCTCTGGTATTCACTCATGGTGTTTTCCCCTCACATCTTGTTACCAGTTCCCGTTCTGTATCTCTAAATGCAACTATCTGTAAGCTAGCTTCACCTTAACCCTCAACAAGGAGTACTTTTTAGGTATGGGGCCACGCCCTGCTGAGAGAAAGGCCAAGCTCTACACTTTAGTGAATATCCCATGACTGATTCAGTTAGGGCAATGGCAGAACCTTGAAGTTCTCGCTCAATGACTGAAAGAGCCTCAGACATTCCCACCAGATAAGTCTGGGCTGCTTTAAAATTTTGAGGAATACAAGGAGTTCATAAGGGGGACACGTTCCAAGACTCCCCAGATGCCTGAAATCTATTATATACTCTACTTTCCTATACATATATACCTGTGATAAAGTTTAATTTTATAAATTAGGCACAATAAGAGACTAACAATAAAACAGAAATTATACTGTAGTAAAAGTTTGTGATGTGATATCTCTCTCAAAATTACTGTACTGGTCCTTCTTTTTGTAATGATGTGAGATGATTAAAATTCCTGTGTGACAGTATGAAGTGAGGTGAATGATGTAGGCATTATGATAAAGCATTAGGCTACTATTGGGATCATCTGCTTCCAAACCATGGTTGACTGGACAGCTGAAACCGAGGAAAGCAAAACCTTGGATAAGGGGTGGGTGCTACTGTAAATTGTTTGCACCAAGGGACACACCTAAATGGTTAAAAGATAAGTTTGGTTAGGGGAGGGGATTAGTCTCAGGGAGAAGCTGTATCTTTCATAAAGGGGCCAGAAGGTGTAAGGACAAAGGATGGAGAAGTATGTGTGTGGGTGTTGAGGTAGTGGGAGGGAGGGTGTTGAATTATGGAAGCTGGAAAACTCTTCAGGTAGCTACTCTTTTCTCTAGCTGAGTCATCTACCTGTCTGCCCCCCCCGGGGTGGGTAGGGGAAGGGGAAGAAGAACTAGCTGCTTAAAACACTTCCTCATCCCTTTACAGCCCCACCCCTACCACTGTGCTAGACCAAGCCCTTCAGGGCATTTGCAAAGAAAGGGGAAGCATCAACCAAGGCTACCCAAGCTTTGGGGAGTCACTCTTCCAATGCCTGTAATAGCCTTAGGACTGAAGGCTTAGCTCTATAAAGCCTTCATATTTGTTTTCACCTAGTTCCTACCTTCCTGAAATCACACACAGCCTTATACTGTCAGAGGCAGAATGGGTCTCTGAAATGAGCTAATATAAACATCTGTTTTATAAAGGAAGCAGCAAATCCAGAGAGGGAAATGACTTTCCAAGGCCACTGTGTGAGTGGGATCCGAACTTACCCAGGACTTCAGGTTCACACTAACATCTACTTAAGGCCAGCATTTCACTGTTGGGGAAAACCCAGGCACAGAACGTCCATCTTTTGTTTCTCGGTCTACTACTGTTACTTAGAAGGCCACACTGCCTTTTCTCTTCCTGGGTCCTAGGTTAGCGTCCTTTTCTTGACAGAGAGGATGTGGGGACAGGAAATGGGAGAGCTGAGGTTCAGAAGCACACTGGCTGAAAAACATTTTCAGGGTATCAGTGGGCTCTTAACTACCTCAGAACCCAGGGTTATTGCAAGGGAGACTTGGGGATTGGATTAGCAAGGAGCATACAGGTGGGGAAAGTGGCAGTCAGTAACAGTGGGATCCAGGATTTCAGGATCAAAAAGGTGAGAGTAGTGGGGAGGATTTCTTTTAAAGCACTTGGAAATGTCTGACACAAGAAATTTGAATGTAGGCAGTTTGTTGTAGAATCATTGTGCTAAAGGGGAGAAGGTGGAGGGGAGATAGAAAGGTATTGAGAGGTAAAATGGGGTTGGCACAGCAGTGTGTGTGGTCTCACAACTTCCAGGATGACAGTGAGGGGAGGTTTTAAGTAAGTAGCAGGGCAAGAGGAAGCACTGACTGATTTACGACTTGTAGAATGTCTTAAAGAGCTTAAAGGGCCTTAGAGATGGTACCTTGTTCTAAAAGATGAAGAAACCCAGAAAATGCTGTGATCTAGTCAGCACCACACAGCAAACTAGGACTGGAATCTAAGTCTTCTACCTCCCAGGCCAGGTCTCTTTCCCAATGAGCTCAGAGAACACTTAAACTCGTTAATCTTAGTGTTTCTGATTTGGTTTAGCCCAGTAGTTTTAAGAAATAATTTCATTTCTGGTATAAACTATTTTATTAAATGTTTACTTGAGAGTTCAGCCAGTTAGTGGAGTTTATTCCATGTCTTTTATAAATATTTCTGTAAAATTTCAAACTGGCATTCCAGTTACTCTTTTTGAATTCTCTTATTGATGTGCTAGTCACTAAATCCACTGGTACATTTACCTATAGCCCTCTGTTCTCTCTCAAGTTACAGGATCATTATAGCCAGAGTGGTAAAACAAAATCTGGCCTTCCCTGCACTCAGACTTGGATAGATGATCCCACAAAATAGGAATGAATGACACTGAGGTAGAGACACTGTTTTTCTCAGCTTTCCTTCTCCTTTAAGCTTTGAGTTTGAAAGGAGCTACTCCAGTCACAGTGCCCAGGACAACAGTGCATAGGGAAGTTGTGTGCTCATTTATTGAGGTGCCTGGGCCAGTTGGAGCTTATTCCCACTTGAGTCACATATCCTCAGAGCTGCAAGGGCCCTTAGGAGATTTTTCTGCTGAATCCCCTATACCTCTTTGAGAAAGAAACTAAGGCCTCAGGTCACAGTGATAAAATAATAGGGCTGTCTTTTCTGTTTTTAGCCTCACCTACTGAAATGGTGCTTGCTTCTATTTGGATGGCCTAAGTCAAAACTCTAAATGACCAGAATAATGCTCCCAGGGGAGTAGTGTCCTTCGGCCAGCCAGGATCCTGGGGTGACCTCCTGTCTCCAGATCATTTTCTTGTGCTGTGCACATCTGAACATGTGCTTACGGTGACTTGCACTTTGTGTTCTCTTGCCCAGAATACAGTGCTCACTACCACCACCCATCCCTCATGCACCCACCATCTAATAACTATCCCACCAAGGGCTGTAGAATTGCTCTTCTTGTTTAGGAAATATTTGTGTCCTGGGTGTAACTAAGGCTAAGTCTGAAAGAGCAGAACAGTAATCCAGGATATCTGGGTCAGTCTAGACCAATGGTTTCTAGATGTTAGTTGGGTGATACACTCAGGATACCCTAAGGTACTCATCACAAACAGATTTCAGCCTCCTACCCCACCACCCACCTCATCTACGCTTTCAGAATCTTGGGAAGATAGGGTGTGAACATCTCTGTATTATAACAAGCTTTCCAGGGGACCTTGGTGCACAGCTAGATTTATTTTAGGACATGTATTGGAATCTTTGCTGGCTATCAGTCATACTTCTTTCAGTCTGGCTGAGACTCTCTTAAATGGACTTCAGACAAAAGGAGGGCCCTGTTACATTAGCACAACCCTTTATAATATACAAAACACATTCCATCTCTGATTTTATTGAATACTTATGATAACCTTGAGACAATAGGACAGGCATAATTATCCTACCCCAACCTTGCAGATGAGGAAACTGGATGATAGCTCACAGTCTAAGGTCACAGTCAGTAAGTGAGAGTAATTAGTGACATAGTTCCAAAGCCACCTATTTCACACATTTTGTCATTTAAACATAGGGCCTAAGCCCAGGGGCAGGACCTGGCCCTTCATCTTTGCCTCACCCATAGACTTCCTAGAAGGATGATCCGACTTGCAGCTTCCATGTGCTAGAGATTTAGTACTGGCTTCCCGCTCCTGGGGGCTTCTTGAAGGTGGTACGCCATACAATATTAACGCTAGGTATCACTTTTATTCCTTGTGCCTTGGAAAGCCAGCAGGTGTACGGTGTCATTCCTTGCCAGCACAATGACAGGAGACTTCTGGGGCAGGTAAATTGGCTTTATTTCAGATTTTATAATCAATTTAACTCATACTAATTAGCTGGGTAATGACGTTCTATGTTTCCAAAGACATTTAGTTGGCATCTATAAAAAACCCAGTGTATTTGCTAAGCAGGTGCAACTGAAATTGAAATATAAATTCATTAGTTTTACAATTGGTCCTCCTAGGCAGGGCTACCCAGCAGCCCCAGGTCCTTTGGTCTTTTAACTTTTTGGGGGGTGGGGGAAGAGATGGCGCAGTGTCTCTGGTAGAATTCCTGGTCATGTCAGATCTGCACTCTGTATCTCACTAAGCCCTTTCTAATGGAGCGTCGTGATTGGGTACTCTACCTTTGAAGCCTTTGTCCATAATGTATGTGTTCTGACGTCTATCCATTCCACAGGTACCTGCATAAAAATAGCGTAAGGAAGGAAAAATATGGGGAGGGGTTAGTTCACTCACACTCCTTTTTCCCTTCTCCCTTCTCCAGAAAATAGTAGTTCTTTAGAACCAGAAAATTATTCTGGGTTCAATCTACTCTAAATCATTTAAAACATACAGGAATCCTTAAAAGGCTCGTAAGTGAGCCCCAGTGCCCCCTGCATATTCAGCACCCCTCTTCTTTAACCTTCACTCTGAGGGAAACATCTTCCAGCAGGTGATCAAAGGCAGCTCTGGTGCTACCCGCAGCCACTGCAGGTGAAGTCCCAGTTCCGAAAGTATAGGATAAGGAGTGGATTAGAACCAGTTCTTGGCTTGGAGAAGGGGTGAAGGACATTCCAAGTCGCAGTTCTGTTGGATTTTGGAACGGAGTTGAAGATGTTTTCAGCTCTCAGCTCTGGTCCTGCCTCTCCTCTCCTGGATCGAAGCTTGACAAGGCAGCCAGGGAAAGGAGGTGGACATGTGGCTGAGCTTCTTGAATTACCATCTTTACAGGGTGGCTAGTCCTTCCCATCCATAATCAGCTCTTGTAGACATTTTGCGGGGGTGGAGTTGGGCCATTTGCCCATAATTGAGAGTTACCTTTGAAAAATATTACCAGAGTTTTTCAACCCAAGGATTCTTTTCTCCTTTTTGGCTGTCAATCTTTATTCTAGGCCCCCACAATGCATGGTCCTGAGCCCCAGCCAAAGGCAGAACATAAAACTCCAGGGACCAAGCTCAGGTTCTTTTCCCAGAAAAGAAACTTGTATTTTTAGGTTGAGACAGTAAATGATTCTTGCTCAGAGTCAAAGCCATTATTATTACTATTATTATTTCCAGCTTTTAACTGAGAACACAGTACCAGACAAGGCATGCTAAGTGCTTTAATACTTGCTGACATACAGTTTGACACCATTTGATCTCCCCCATTTCTGACATTAAGGACCAACCCATTGCTTAGATATTTCCCCATACCACCTCCACCGCCCAGTTGAACTTGCAAAATTTACTCCCATCTGCCTGCCTTCCACATATTACTGAGTAATAGGGCAGAACATGCCCAAGTTTTTCTCAAGTATGCTGTTCTTGAGAAGAGGGCCTATAGGTACCTATGCCCTTCAAAAACATGACTGCAACAGTTTGTGTCCCTGGCATCAGTTTAGCATTTTATCCAGACATGGGCTTCATTTGCCTTCCCTGAAGGAGGAAGGCTAAGCTGTTAACTTGTTCCTTTTTGGGCTTTTGTTTCCTGTTCTATAAAAAAGGGGCAGTGACTTATGTGACACTACAACAGCAAATGAGAGGTTGAGTTGCAACTAGAACTCTGATCTCCCCAAATATTCTCTCCCATCAGCCACCAGCCTGCTTTTATGTAAGCCAAAATATGACAGTGTGTGGTGGCTTTGGTTACACTGGTTGAAGAGTGAGATCTAGATCTGCAAAGCAAAGAGAAATCTGGGCTGTCTCCAGAGGATGTTCTCATGGATACAGGGTGGTGGTGGTAGATGTGTGTATAGGGGTGGGGGTGAGGTCACTGAATGCCCTGGACCCTGCTGAGGCAGCCCACAGCCAAGCACAGTCTCCTATGTACAGGTCCAGGGTCTTTGCAGCCCATGCGTGCTCCATGAGCAGATGAATTCAGAACCTTTTCTCTTCTTAGTCTTACTGGACCCAGGGACTTTCAAGACCTGCATCTCTCTTGAGCCCCGGAAGCCAGCTGGAGCCTGAGCTCAGACCCAGGTTGTCCAGTGTGCTAAGGCCCTGCCCTGGGCAACGGAATGGGGATGGGGTGGCCACATTGTAGGGAGACCACATACTTGGTTCATCATTACACTCCTATAGCACCTACTTCTGTAACTCCTACCCACATCCTCCTGTAGCAGGACTGATTTTCCAGATTTCCTTTTTGTATCTTTCCCCAACTACCAGGTTTGAGCCTAATACATGAGCAGAGAGGATGTTGGTTGATACATCCTGCTTCAGTATCTCTGGATCCCTGTTGGACAGCCCTACTCTCTGATCTTGGAGAGCTTTATGTGGGCCACTGGTGGGCCTGGGGTTTCTCTCTGGGGGACTTTATGGCCAGAGATAACACTCTATCATTCACACCCATTCAGAGCCCAGAAAACCCTAAAGGTGATGCCACCCCCCCAGTCATTTCTCAATGGTTTTGGGTTGTATTCTGTGGCCTGTAGGAATGCAATTATGTTGTGTCCCCTTCACCTAATACCACTTGCAGTTTGTCCATATCCACTGACTATGATGGGAGCAGAAGTGGTGATCCAGACAGGTTTCCTTCTTTAGACAGGGGCTTGGGCTTATAGCCGTGTTAGGAGAAAAGGCAGGTCCAACAGGGAGACTTCTGGGAACATGGGGTTGGCTCAAGGGGCAGGAATTAGGGTTGGGTGGGGTGGGGTAGGGCAAGTACTAGGTTTGGTCTGGTCTGAGAGCCTAAGGGGCCCAGTGGGTAGAGGGTAGGGCTAGGGGTCTAACCTGGTGAGTGTGGCTCAGCGGGGCGGCTGAGGTGTCTAAGTTCAATGTAGAAGTCCTCGGGCGGGTACTTGGCCTCCAGGGCACTGATCTGGAAATGGGAGTCTAGTGAGAGGAATGACAGGGAGGAACCATTATTCCCAGGGCCCTGGTATGGCAGGGGTTGGGGGCAGGGGTTGACAGGGTCAGAGTGGGGTAGGCCAGAAGGAATTAGGGCCTCTGTGTAGCATCCAAAGGGACTAGGGCCAGCAGGGCCAGAGGGATTTGCTAGAGTTGAGGCCATCTAGCTTGCTTCTCCTTACCTCCAACCCTACTCCTAACAGGAATTGCTGCCCACCAGGGCCATGGGGCAGAGTGGGGTACCTTGATAGGACCTGGGTCTGGCAGAGGTACCTTTCCCAAATGATGAGTGCATTTTTTGCCTCCATCTGGAATCCCATATCTGGGCCCTAGCAGTCTTTCTTTGTGGTCCCTGGCTCATAGCCACCCTTTCCCTATCCCGTAAAATAGAAATAATAGGCATTTTGGGCTTCATTTGCTTATGCAAGCTGAAACAGGGGCTTGGGTTTCCTCTCTAAACCTCTTCTTCCTGGGGGAAGCCATAATAAAAATCCATTTATTAGCCCTCTTCCTTGGAGCCAGGACAGGACCCCTCTCAATGTGGGAGAAGGAGAATAGGGTGGGACGTGGTGGTGAGGGACCAAACTCGAACCACTACTGACCTAACACGTTCACAAAGCTGTAGGGGGTCCAGCCTGCTGTGTCTCTGTCAAGGGACTTGTTACTGAGCTGTTTGGAGAGTAGGAGAGCCAGTTAGTACCTTTGCCCCGAGATGCCCCTACCCAATCTTCACTGCCCAGCCTCATGCACCCACCTGTGCTGATCCCGATTCACCTAGGTTCTCAGTCATTAAGGGAAAGGGATAGCTAGGTGTTTCATGACAGGCTGCCATGGTGGTTGAGGCCAGTGGAACAGAATATAACCCCATCTAAGCTGTCTGGATGAGGTTGTAGGGTTTTCAGCCCTTGGGGCAAAGGGGGCAGCACCTCCCAATAGCCAAGAACTGGCCCTGAGGAGAAACAGGTCAGCTGGCTGCAGGAGAAGGGGCTCTGGCAGTGTCTTAGCTACAACACAAGGCCATCTCCAGCACAGCAGGGGCTGAGGCTGTCTGCAGCACCACTGTCACAACGACCACCTGACCTCGGCTGGGTGTGAGAGTCTCCCTTTGTGTTACCAAGGGAAACCTGCAGGGTAGGTTGGCCTTACGGCGCAGTCTTTCCTCTTCATTATCCTCACAGCCGGCCTTCATATGGTTGTCATTATTCCATAGGTGGGGACCTGCATCCTGCTTGTGGGCCCTGCTCATGGTCACATGAGGAGTCAGTGGCAGAGCTGGGTCTACAGTTCAGATTTCAGGTCCCAGATCCATGTCCTTTCCTTGTCACAGCTGCCTGCCTTTGCCACAAATGCCCTATCTGCCAGGCTGAGGGGTCCTTGACTGCACAGAGCCACTTTGGGTCACCATGTAGGCTATTCTGCAGTTAACTCTGGCCGTTTACTCAAGAGGGTAGTGAATGCTTCCCGGTTAGAATGAGCCCAAGAATGACATGGCCACAAAGGGCCTTTACCTCTCATCCTTTGCCTCTAACTCGTTGCAGTCTTGATAATGTGTCTCTAGTTAATAAAGAACTTCATACTGGAAAACTCTGGATTCCTTTCGTTCAGCTTCCAACCCCCCAGATAAGCATAAAGCTGAATCTGGGAATAAGGGACTGAGCTGAGTAGATACATGGGAAAAGGGGCCAGAACTATGGGGCTGATGCTTATGGGCCTTAAGGCACCCTGTGTATAACATTCCCATTACATAGGAACACCAAAGCTGAGGGCCATGAAAGAGTGGCCTTGGAGTGCTGACTTGACTGTGGTGACCCGAGGGGCTGTATGGTGTTTATGTTATTGTTAGGGGGTTCAAGGGGCATTGCCACCAGGTCTTTGGTAGCAGGCATGGTCTGTAGATTGGTGGTCATTTTCTGTGGGGGCAGACAGGGTGAAAGGATTCCCAGAGCTCTAGGGCAGAGGCCTGGGGTAGGAAAACTGCTTATGTTCCTGGCCCAGGATGGATGTTCTAGGAAGCCAGGAGTCCTAGGATTGCTTCCCTAAAGGTCCTGCTTTCTCTGTGTTTATACACATGCTTAGGAGGTTGTTAGACAGTGTGCGGCATGAGCCTATCAGACCTGTGGTCCTTGGGGTTGTTCTTCATCAGATCTGAACCTTCCACTTTGCCCCTCATGAGTCCTGGCACACCAGGGGAGCTCACTGCACATGTGCTAAAACATCCTTGTCCCAGGGCCTGTGACTTTAAGAGTATGTCTTGCCATCAGCCTGGGTTATGCTGGCAGCTGTGAGGGAAGGCCCTGTCCAGAGTGGTGCGCACCTGCCTTTAAGGTGCGCTGTCACTTAGTATACATCCCCTGTCAACAAGAGCACCGGCTATGGCTGATGTTTGGGTTCCATGTCCCTTGTATTGGTTCTGATTGTGACAAATGGTTGTGGGTATGTACTGATAACATCTGGTATGTCTAGATAGAAGGACATCAGGGGGTACCTGAGTAGCAGTGGTTACTCTGTAAGTGCTGGTTATACATGTTAGTAATGTACTGCAGTGATTAGTGTTAGGTGGTATAATGTTTGGATTACATATGTTAACATGTGGCAGAAGCTACATAGTTACGTATGATGACAAGGCTCCACATGAATACATGATCACATGACTTTGTTCCAGTTGTTTACACACAGGTGTGGGAATATGTATTATATTGAATGATGGTGTAAGTTGGTTACATATGGTATCCACTGGTTGCATGGCACTTGTTGGCTCCATGTATCCTGCTGGCTTCCTGTTACATGCTTCACAGTGTTTGTATGTCCCATGCATCACAGGACTGTATTTAATGTATTGGCCATTGGTTGCACCTGGACCCTTCAGGTTGGGGGGGAGTGCATTGTTTTCTGGGCAGAGGTGAGGACTCAGGGGGAGGATAGTAGATGGGGGCTGGGGAGTCAGGGACCCGGTACCTTGGTGGGACTGTTCCTGTCCAGAGTGCTGGCCTGGCTGGTGGCAGGCCCCACCAGTGCGTGGTAGCTGGAATTGGAAAAGCACTGGGCATGGCTGCTACTTTGAGACAAATCTGGGGAGAGAACAAGGTGCCACATACCATCACACCCCTGCCCCTGGCATGAGATACCCAATACTAACACTTGGGCTTGGCAGACTTGAGAGGGCCCCGTAAAGACAGACAGCCCAGCCCCCAGCCCCCATGCTTTCTGGCATCAACTACCCCCACAGAAATCTGTAAGAGCCTGATTTGTCTCTTGCCTCATTGTGGCCCTTCCCTGCAAGATGCAGGTTATTAGTCTTGCCAGTGTGGAGGGTGGCAGCAGCAGCTAGAGCACAGAGAGGATGGTTGGCTTCGTCAGCCTCAGATGTCCCTGAATCGCTATACTGACTCTGCCCTGCCTCCCTCCAGGGTCCCACCCCAGTAGTGAGGCCATAAAGAGAACCTCACTCCTCTCAGCCCCAGCTCTGCCCTTCTGCAGATTACAGGACCTCTCCATGGGGCTGGGGAATTCCAGTGCAATGTGGGAAAACCCGGCCAACTTTGCTTACAATAGTCGTAGAAAGGAAGTCCCCAGATCATCTCTGTGGGCTTGGGATTTCACCAGGGGATGTATACTTTGGTTGAAACCCAGGGAAGCATGTAGGCCAGAAACTGAAAGGCAGAGTCTGCACCTGGGCCGCCTCTATCCATCCTGCAGTGGAGCTGGGCACATGGTAGGCAACGCTTAGCAGGAGCGGGCTGATGTGATCTTGGTTCTCTAAGTTCAAGGTGCAGGAGGCTGCATATTGGCAATGAGCTACGGAGGCAGCTGGAGAAAGCCGTTACCCTTGTGCTCCCCTAGACAGGCTCCACCTCCTGTGGCCCAGGCCTGTGGACAATTTAGGAGCATTTTGACCTCTTCTGTTTAACTAAACATGAAGCAAAAGGCAGTCAGGGTTCAGGGCAGAGGAAGGATCTGGCTTAACTGTCCTACCCCTGCCCCTCTCAGACTCCCAGTTAGAATGTGCACTGGAGCTGTTACCACATTTGTGGACAGACTGGGTTCCAGCAGGCCTGGCCAGAGGAACATTGCTTAGACTTCAGGTTTCCTCCAAGTCAGGCACCATCACCTTCTATTGTGCTAATACGACCCTCCTAACTCTGGGAACTGGGAGGGTTCTGAGGCCTTTCACTAAGCAAGCAAAAATGGAATGGGGCCTGGACACTGGGCCCTAGGTCCAGTTTCCTGAGGTGGCACAGGCATCAGGCTATGGAGAGGTTCCTCTGGAGACTGTATGAAAGTTATTGCTTAGTGTGGGTGCTCCTGTGGCCGAAGCCTAGTGAGAAGGATGGGAAGCGCTGGGCAAGTGGAGGAAAGCTCCTGCCCATAGCTGCTTAGAGCTGGGTGCACAGGAAGTTACCTCCACCTGGAACCTCACTTATCTTTCCCAAGTAGGCTCCTGCTTCTGACCCCCACTGCCTCTCTGGAAGAGTTCGAACAGCTGGCCCCAGCCAGCAACCCTGCAGGCATGGCCACCCACCTTCAGCAATAAACCCGGTGTCCCCAAGGATACCATGTGACTCTTCCTGGGTTGTGTGTGTGTGTGTGTGGAGGGGAAGGAGGTGGGATGCGGGGGGCAGACTTTACCTGAGAGAGAGTAGTCAGTGCTGGTCATCCTCATGGCAGGTGTGTAGGAGACACGGGGAGCCAGGTCACGGCCCTTCTCTTTCTGCCGCCGCCGGCACCAGGCAAACAGACCCAAGAGCACCACAATGAGGAACAACAAGAGGATGATGCCTGTGACAGCACCCACTGAGTGGCGCTCTGCACCCAGCGCTGGGCTGATCTTGGTGTAGGGATTCATCTCTTCCATCATGAGGGCAGCTGCAGACAGAGGAAGGCCTGCTTGCTCTTCAGATCCTTGGCATGGGGCCTAGACTCCTTCAATGTTAGGAGACCTGAGTTCTGGTCTTGGCCCTATTCTTCAATCCCTGTGTGATCCCAACCCTCACTCTTCAACTGCCTACAGGAGATGGAGTCTTGGGGTCATAACTGGGAACAAATGTGATTGTAGATGGGAAACAGTAATAATGAGTGTTTGAGAACCTTACTCTGTTCTAAAAATGAGTTGCAGCTATTAACTCATTTGGTCTTCCCAGTAGCCCTATGAAATAGGGACTATTTATTTCCCTTTCACAGATGAAGAAACTGAGTCACCAAAAGGTTAGATAACTTGCCCAAGATCATGCAACCAGTAATGGATAGGGTCATGTTTCTTGAAGTCAGGAAGAAATTGGAATCAGCCTTTCTACCTGCTTACCAGCTATGTGACTAAATCCTCATTTTGCTCATTTGTAACATAGGGACAGAAATCCCACCCTCTCCAGGGGACTCATGAGCATCGTATGCCCGACAGTAAAAGCCCAGGATTACTGTTGACAAAACCACTGGTGATGATACATCTCTGGGCTAACCCCCTCCATGCTGATGCACGTGCCCAGGGGGATGTCCTGCTGGCCCAGCAGCATCTAGACCTCCCCTTGGCTATCAGCAGCTGGCTGAACAGTGCTGGCCAATGTCACCAGAGAGGTAAATATGCTGCATTGTTGTTCTCTATGAAAGATCAGAATGTGGTTGGCCCTTTTCTCTCATGCACTTCATTGATCATTCCCAGTCCCCATCTCCTAGAACCAACAGTACACTTCACAAGAGTTTTTATGTAAAACCATTTTATGTATACAAAACTGCTTATGTGCCAGGCACTGTGCTGAGTCCTTTACTCACATCTCAACTTGGTCCTCACAACTGCTTTATGGAGTGTCATCTGTGGAGCTGGAGCCAAGGTTGAGCCCCTTTGGGCCCCTGGGCCCTCAGCAGAACCTTGTGTCATGGTGCATGTGGAGTCAGGCCCAACAAAAGGAAGTGACCTGCCAGAGGACACCCAACAGGTAATGGCAGGACCAACAGGTTTGGCAGATCTACTCAGTCTGGTGGCCTTTCCACAGCACTAGCTTGCGGTTCTCCTCATGTGGCTCATCGGAAACTTGCCAAGGATGAACGTAGGGAAGCTGTGACTGAGAGGCTGCCTCTGCAGTGCCTGGCACCTCTGTCTCCCCCTCTGCAAGCCATCCCACTCACACTCTCCTCCCAAACATGAATAAAGGGAAGCCATGAAGTGTCCTTATAATTCCAAATGTTCCTATTTGAATTTCCCTGCAGCCTGCTTCCAGGGGGCCCTTTCCCAGGGGCCACCTGTGTATTACCTTGGTCACACCTGATTCCCTTGAATCCAGAGCTGCAGTAACAGGTGCCGGTGACGTGATCACAGGTGGCATTGTTCATGCATTCACACAGCTGCTGACACCCGTAGCCAAAGGTCCCTGGGGCACATCCTACATAGCATGCAGAAGAGTTGAGGTGGACAGTGAGGCGCACCGACTGCTCCCTTCCCATGTGTGGACAGCTGTGATGGTCAGTCTGTTCTGCCTCAGAGGGAAACCTATTTCCCCGTAGCTCCCATTGTGCTTCAGGTTGATACTTGGGGGTTGACAGAGCAGTTATAGCCCTGAGTTGGGGGCGGATGCCAACCACTACTTCTCCCCACTTGACACACACAAAGCATTTTCCATGTGCCAGGCCCCGAGCTGGGTGTCAGGGGTTTCAAAGAAGAATCACACATCTGTCCCCCATTAGTCCCTCATTATGCCCTCAGGCTGCTGCTCTGCCCTCAACATCCCCCATCCCACCTCAACTGGAGGAAGAAACTCTTCAAAGTTTTGGCATGCCCTTATGCAGCCTTTTTCCTGGGGGTTGTTCCTAAAGTTCAAGGAGCAGGGATTACAGAACCCCAGATGGATGGGCCTCGAGGAGGGAGGCTTCCCCTGCAGGAGGAGACTGAGGCCTGGAACCAATACTCAGGATCAGGGGTCTGGACAGCTTACTCTGTTCACAGTGTCGCCCGGTGAAGCCCGTACGGCAGGTACACTGGCCACTGATGTGGTCACAGCTGGCGCCATTCTGACACTGGCACACGCGCCCACAGTCCTTCCCATAAAACGCTGCTGGGCAGCCTGGAGAAACAGGGTGGGGGCAACTGCAGGGTGCAGCCGGGACCAAACCTGTCTTCTGCTGCCTCTTACTCTGAGCATGGGGTGAGGACTAGTGAGACCCTGCACCTGAGCTGTCTTCACACTTTGGACCCTCACAATGAAGAGGTGGGGGTGGAGCTATGCAGTCCTTTGATGGCTCCTTGAAACCAGGGGCCAGGCTGGGATCTCCAAGCTGTTCCTCCCACACTGGGTCCTACTGTCCAAGAAGGGGTCTGGTATTGCTGAGTGCTGGGGTACCTTACAGCTCTGACCTTCTAGGACTTTGGGCCCATCATTCCAGCCAGGCTCCCCAGTTCTTCCAATGGGGAGGGACAGGCAGGTGGGCTCCTGGCCCTGGGGCCCGCCTCCTCCCTCCCTCCACTGCAGGCCTGGACAATGCCCAAGGCAGCCAGCAGGCCGCAGCATGGGATTCCAAATAGCCGGGAGGCAGGACTTACGCTGTGTGCAAAAGAGTCCAGTCCAGCCAGGGGTGCAGTGGCAGGCCCCATCCTCAGCGCTGCAGCTCCCCCCGTTGTGGCAGCTACATGTGTGGAAGCAGGCGGGGCCCCAGAACCCAGGTGGGCAAGCTGGGGATGGGTGGGATGTGGAGGGTGAGGGTGAGGCGGAGCAGGACAGATGGAGAGGAGGGGGAGTGCACGTCAGAGCCGAGATGCCAGCATACACCCAGGCGGCATTTCCTGGCTTTCAGGGCCTGACACACTGCCAGGATTATTCCAATCGCCTCTTGGCCCAGTGACCCAGGATTCTCAGTAAGCCCATATTCTCTGCCCGCTCCCAGCTCTGAGGGCTCCTGAACCTCCCATCTCAAGACTGTGATTTGGAGTGAGTGTGAGTGTGTGTGTGTTGTAAAATAAAAAGATAGTGATCTATGGTGTGAATACTATGTGGTATAATTTCCCCACAAGTACGGGAACTTGCCCAGGGTAGGGACTGTTTCAGCTGGTGAGCTCTCTGAGGATGGCACTGTCTCCATCAAAACAAATTCCCTCATGCTAGCAGATCTAAGTGGGACTTCCCTAGGGGTACTGGTTGGGTCTCATCCATTGGTCAGTTCCACAGGGCAGAAGCTGGGTCTCTCTGCTTAGACTGGGTGGCCCCTGCTACCTCCAGAGCAGACTCCACAACGCCCTGTCCGGGCTTATGATGCCCAGGATATCACTCACATGGGCCTCCCACAGGATGCCTTCCCTGGACGCCGGGTTCTCTGCTCACTTCCTGACTCCCAAATTCCAGCATGCCAGTCCCTGACCTCCCTTCCTTCCTGTCCAGACATAGAGGCTACTCCCTGATTGGGTTCTAATGGAATGTTAATTCTCAGTGTTAATTTTATTAATGCTACTACCAACAATGTCAATACCTTTACTACCAGCAGTTAATGATGCCAAGGATCAGTCCTATTAGTTCATCATATTAGCTACAGAGCTAAGTGGAACTCAGGTGGACCTTCCTATCTGCAGACAATTTTAGCCCTGGGAGGTGGAAGTGCCAGTGGCAGAGAGGTTTTGGGCAGGGAGGGGATGTTTCAAGGCCTGACTTTGGGTGGGGAGCATTCCCCAAGGTGCAGTTTCTTACCCTGTGAGCAGTCCTTGCCAATCCATCCGGGGAAGCACTGGCAGGAGCCGTCGATGGGGCTGCAGGTCCCATTATTGGCACAGGAGCAGAGCCAGGCACAATCCTGCCCAAAGTGCCCTCCAGCACACACTGTGGGCACAGGACAACCTGGCACCTGTCCTCCCACCTGTACTACTCAGACCATCACCCACAGCTGCACCCTCAGAAGTTGGTAGGCCACAGCCATGGTGGCTACCTTGGGGTCGTGGATCTGGGTGGGAACTGCCTGCCTTGGCTCCCACCTCACCCTTCTCCATTTGCACTTTAGAGTTCCCTTCTCGTGCCCATAGCTGTATTCTTCAGGAGGCTCTGTTAATGATCCCCTTTGAAAGAGGATCAGGCCGAGGCTCAGAGGGGTAGAATCACTTGACTTAGGTCTCACAGAGTGGCGAGGCTGAGAACCCCCCTCTGCACAATTAGTCCAGTTTCCTTGCACTGCTGTGTAGCCTTCTGCTTTTCGTTACCACACTTGCCAGCACCACTGGTCCCACAGACCTGAGGGTGGAGAATGTTTGAAGCCGGAAGGGACAAATGCAAGGCAGCAGGTTTGTCTATGGTTAGACTGTTCATGGACTCTACAAATCAGACCTGTTCCTCAAACCTCAGCTCAGCCCCCTTCTCTGGACAGCCCTCCTGGGTCCACAAGTTGCTGTCTTCCATTGAGATCCCATGGTATTTCCATTTTGAATTACTTGTAGGATTTTGGTCCCAGCCCCTCATGGAGGAGTCACTCATTGGTCCCTGGAGGAAGGGCTGGTTTCCTTAACCAGTCTGCAGGCTCCTTTAGGACTACTAGGTCTGAGTGTTCATTGAGCACCTAATACCTATTTCCCTTGAAAATCATCATCCGCTCGCTTCTTACAGCTTGAGCTCTCTAAAACCGTGGCTGTCTTCATGGCGCTCCTGGGGCCTGCTCAGACATCCCCAGTGGATCTTCTTTGGATCCTAGAGATCAGCACATAACCTACCTTACCTGGATTATCCTTGGCTGCCTCTCTCTCCCAGATGCATGAGTGCCCTCCACACCATTTTCTAAATATACCCCATGCCTTCAGTCCAGCTGTTTCCTTACAGAATTCCCTGACGCTCATGTCCAGCTGTGGAAATCTACCCTGCTCGTGGTACTCATATTAAATCCTACTTCCCCTTAAGATCCCTTTGTAGTAGACTGCTAGTCCATCAATACCAATTCTCTTCTTCCTTTGAAATATAATTTGGAGTTTTAACTGGACTTATGGCTACCTGGAATAAAGACTCCTTTCTTGGGCTCCTGCATAGCTGGGTATGGGCATGTGACTACATTCTGGCCAGTGGTAAGTGGAAATGTATGTCTTTATTTGCCCATTCCTTGTTCTTGTTGAATGATAATGTGGATTATGGATAAGAACTGTGGATTAGATGGCTGGAGCTCAAGCAGCTATCTTTCATCAGAGGTGGAAGTCATGTGCTGAGGATGGTTGAACAAGATAGAAGGAACTTGGGTCCCTGATATCTTTGAAAGCTAACCCTGCCATTCTCCAGTGGCCTACTTCTGGACCTTTTTTTTAAGGAGTGAAGGAAATAATGCTTATCATTTTCAAGCCAGTTATTTTGTGTTTTTGTATCACTTACAGCTGAACATAATCCTAACTGATTCCCCGTCTTCTCCGTTCTGGAGGGCTATGTCCCTGTTTGAGCTTCCAGAACCCCCTGGTCTTCTTTTAATGTGACTTGTGAGCCTGTTTCTGGCCAGGCCTGAGTTCCACCCATGCTGTGTCCCCAACAGTGCCTTGAAAAACCTCAGGCACTCAAGGCATGGTTGCTGAATGTGTGGAAATAAACTGGCTACCCCTTGACTCCCAAGTTCTGCTGAGAAAGGGTGAATTCAGAATTTCTTCCCTTACACTACAGACTTTGTGAAAGCAGGAAACTTGGCTCTCATTCTTTGTTGTGACTGAGTGCCCAGCACGGGCACGCGTATAGCAAACAATCAGGAAATGTTCCAAAATGGCCAGTGGACCTCAGGAGAAACGACCTTCCAGTAGGTTCTGCTCAGATCAGTGACTCCAGTCCCTTCAAGCTTTTCTCAGTTCAACATACTGTGTTCAAAGCCCAAGTTCTAGCCAGCCCTACATCCTCAAAGGCTTCCTTGCATTCCTGTTATAGGAGAGGAATTCTTTGAATCCCTTAGGCCCTCAATTGGCTGAGCCACATGGAGGATCATGGGAAGATGCTGATTCACAAAGACAGACAAATCCCCATGAGCCAGGTCTCTCAAAACTTGGGCTGGTACCCTATCTGTGATTTATGCCTCACAGCTTCACATTACCAGCCCTTCCCAAATCAGATTGTGGGCACCTGGTGCCTAAGATCTGTGTCCACTCTGTGCCTCTCCTGGATGTGATTCGTGGTTGGGACAAACAATGAAGGATACCAAGATATCCAGTCCAAAGCCGTGGGTTTGGGCCCTAGTTTTATTTATGTATTCAACAAATATTTCTGTGGTGCTTAAATGTACCAGACACTGTTCAAAGTGCTTCACAAATATTATTTCAATTAACGATGTGCTACTCTCAATGTTATGCATTTTCATTATTATTCCCTACTTCTAACTCCACAAATGAGGAAACTGAGGGACTGAGAAGTAACTTGCCCAAGGTCACAAAGCTAGGAAGGTCTGACATGTACTGGCTAAATGCCTGTGAGCAAACTGCATTGCCCCACTAAGTCTCTCTTTCCTCATCTGTAAAGGGGGGCTGATAACCCCCCACTCACTGGCCTCAGGCTGTGGTTAATATCTGTGGGCACGCTGGCTGATTGGGGGCCCTGTGCTTCCGTGGTAAAAACCTTAGCTCTTCTCAGGGCAGGTCCACTGCCAGGAGGATGGCACGCATCTCACCCCTTGGGGCCCAGGCCCCAGCTTCAGCTTCCGGAAAAGCAGGTCACGCAGCCTCCTCTTCCCTGCCTCTGGGAGGTGCTTGATTTGGAGAACCTAACCCGCAGTCCTGACCCTCTGTGGGGAGTAGGGTGCCAGAGGTGCTCCACCTACCCTACCCCCGGAACCAACTCAGAGCTTCTCTACCAAGCTAGTTTTGTCTTTGAAGTTTTTTTCATACACCCAAAGCTGACAAATTCACCCCTAGAGCTGCCAGTGCAATCAGTCTAATACATTAACTGGTTGACTGCTTAGCTGAATCAAGAGTGAGGCAGAGAGAGGCAGTGAAGAGAAGGGGGGCTGGTGAAAAGAAAACATCTGGTTATATTTAATCTATGTCTAATGATTCTGCATAAGCAGTGTCTGTAATTTGTAACTTGCTGGAAAGCTGGTCATTAGAAAATGTCAGTTCAATTTTTTACAAGGTTTGAGACTTAACCAGGGCAGTTGCCATTAATAGCAAACTCTGTTAGATCTATATGTGGAAAATAGTCATTAGGCCAGTGGGCGATAAATCAGACATTGCAGGATCTGAGAGTTACTCCTCGGGCTGCTTAGGTCCTAATTTAGACCCAGCCTATCTGTATTGACGGCCGAGTCTCCAATGTTTAATAAGTAAACCTCGACATGTCAGATTATGATTAAACTGTCCTAGGAGTACTGCAAGCAAATGAAACTGTCACATATATTTCCCTGGGGCCCAAATTTCTCATGACCTCAAAGCATCATGTAGTAAAGTAAACTTTCCACTCATGTATATTAACGGCCCATACACAAAAACAGCCCAACTCAGTGGTGACCATTCATCAAAATAATCTGTTCCCCTGGGAGGTAGTGAGTTCTCAGTGAAAGTATTTAAACAGAGACTAGATGAGATTCTTGCATAGATGACCTTGAAGTTGCTTTCAGCTCTGAGTTTACTCTAGTTTAAGATCCCTCCTTATAGGTTAGAGTGCAAGTTCTGCACACTTGTGTTCCAAGCTGTCCTGAAGGCCCAGACTACCTTCTCAGCCCCCTCGGCCATCCCCAGTCCCCGAATCCTTCAGCCATTTCCTACTGCTGGACAGTTGCATGTCCACACCACTGTGCTTTGCCCAGGCTGTCCTGTATCCCCAGTGCCTTTCTTCCTTCTCTGCCTCTTAGGCTAGGGCCCAGCTAACGTCCTACGCAGCATGGAGCCATCCCCCAAATCCACATCGCCTTGGCCGAACTAAGCTGGGGATGGCAATAAGCAATGGTGTGTGCTGGAGCCGGCTTCCGCCTTTGCACTTGTTGAATATTCAGGATTTTTGTGGCTGGTGTTAAACCACTGGTTGGTACCTTGGAATCAGCCATGGTGGGAATATTAATGTCATAGAAATTTACAGATGTTACAGATTAGGGCTTTTCCCTCACAGAGAGCCAGTTTAGCAGCACATCAGTGCAAATAAGCTTTATCTCCCTTTTCAGCTCCTGTGGTGTGGTAGAGGTTGGCTGGAGTTGGGGTTGTGAAGGATCCTGCAGCTGAGACAGGAAAATGTGTGGCGAGGGATTAGTGATGTTGGCCTGGGTGTGAGGGCTGGGAAGTTGCCATCTCCAATCAAAGCCAGGACTATCTCCTCTGAGCTCCCACAGCATTCTCTGCCTCTACCGCTTGGCACTCTGCACAAGCCCTTTGGGGCCCTTTCTTATGCAGATCTCATCTACACTTACTTCATTCTTCATCCATTTATCATGGTTTTAGAGTCAGAATTTGTTTCTCAACTCTGCCACTTGCTCGCTGTGAGACCATGGAGAAGTCATTTAACCTCTCTGAGCCCATTCCTTTAACTGCATAATGGCTTTAACTCACACCCTGTGGTATCTACTCTTAGAAAGGTAAGCCCAAGCCCTGAAAAGCCAAGGAGCTACCTCTACAGAATATGAGAACCCCCAAACCCTTCTTCCCAGCCACTTCTCCCCCAGGACTCCTCACTTCCCTGGCTCATCCTTCCCCTTGGAGAGAGTACCTTGGTTGCAGAGGGCTCCAGTGAATCCAGGGAGGCACTCACAGATGCCGCTGACGTGGTGGCAAGGCCCACTACTGTGCACGCAGAGGGGGCACGGCTGGGCGCAGCCATGGCCATAGAACCCAGGGGGGCAGACTGGGGGCAAAGGGGAGATGGCAGTCAGGAGCCCAAGAGGCTGCAACCAGCCTGGCCACCCGTCCAGTCCCACATAATGATGAAGGGAGGCTTCCCCAAAATCTGGCAGGAGCTGCCCCCACCCCACACCTTGGAGGGCCCATCCCTTTCTGCAGAGAGCTGTGGTCCTTTTTCCACTGAGAAGCTGGTCTGGGCCCTGAACCTGGGGGTAGAAAAGCCAGGGCAGGGAGAGAGGGGACTAGAGGGAGGAATCTGATGGGGGTTGACTCTGAAAGCCCAGCCTCTCTCAAGCCAAGACTGGTTCTAACTGGAAAGGGGTAGAGAGGATGAGCATCTGAGGTCTGTAGAATGGTGGGGCTCAGCCTTACTTCTCTGGCATAATGGTCCTCTGAAGCCAGGGGCACACTCGCAGCTCCCATCCTCTGGGGAGCAGGATCCACCGTTCTCACAGCTGCAGGAGACAGAGCAGTTGGGACCCCAGCGACCAGGTGCACATGTGCTGTCGCAACGGATGCCTGTGGGCCAGAGGATCAGTGGTAAGAGGGGTGAGGACAAAAGGAAGAATGATGGCAGGGGGGCACTCTGCAGAACAAAGAGGTGCAGGCTAGCACAGTTCATCTGGGAATGTGGAAGAAAACCCCAGCCAAGGCTTGGCTCATCAGGGAGGGCTCCAGGAAGAAGTGATGCCCAAACTGAGTCCTAAGCAGCAAGGAAGAATTGACCAGGTAAAGGAAACCCTACAGAGCTGGAGGCAGGAGAGAAGCATGCCTTGAAAGAAGGTACAGTATGGTGCAGCTGAACCATCAAGTACCAAATGGAGTGTGGCAAGAGATGAGATTGTGGGACTAAGAAGGACCAGATCATGAAGGGCCTCCTTGCCTTTTGACATCTTAGCTGGTATCCAAGGTTGGGCATGAGAGAAACCAACCACTGGGCATGAGTGTAGTTATGGGGGCTGCACAGCTGGGAGTGAGCTACATGCCCACCCATTAGCAGGCGCCCCTGGGCCTTGCTGTATCCCAGCCAACCAGCCCCAGGGTACAGGCCTACAGGGGGGAGGGAGTCTTTTCAGATTCTTTCGACCACAGGCCTCAGTGCAGTATGTTTTTTATATCATATGTGCACATATTTGTGTGATACCAGTGCTTTGCAGAATGACATTTACTGTCACTGTGTGTGATAAACTCTGCTCTTTTCTCTGTACTGTATGTATTCTGTTTAAAAATTTAAAAAAACTAGTGTGACCCAACCAATTGATTTAATGACCCTCAGTTTGATAAACAGCCACCTATAAGGGAATGGATAGACTTTCTCAATAAGAAAGAAAAGGAAGGCCTACACAGTTTTTTTGTGCTAGATAGAAGACATAGGTATTGAGGTGATCATAGCCCAAAAGCTACGAAGGAATTTCAAAAGGCTTGAGGCTGATGTCCCAGTTCTGGGGGTGGGGTTTCCTCCCAGGCATTAGGAGAATGGATGGTGTTGGCCCTGGAGACCACCTTGGCTCTGGAAGATGAGTATCAGAAGCTCAGAGAGCAGAATTAGTTTAAAAATCATGTCTGCCTCATTGCAAGGACAGAGATAGTGAGACAGAGAAAGAAAGAGGGAAGAAGACACTCAGGCCCAGTGAACAGTCAGCCATGGCAGCAGCAGGACAGCTCTGGGACCAATTTAGAGGCAGGTTAAGATCACACAAGCCCAGCTGGGCCAGTGAGCCAAGGGGAGGGAGGGCAGAACAGCCAAAGAGCGAAAAGGAGGGGATGCAAAAGGCACGCTCACCCTCCAGTGCTCCAGTCTAGTCTGGTGCCTTCCTCCCCAAGCCTCCCCACTGGGACATCTCAGTTTTGTATCAGTGTGGGTGCTTTAGGGGCCACTCTCCAGGAAATGAGGCCTCCACGTGGAGGGAGGGAATGAGGTCTTTCCCCAGTGAGGATCCGGCAGACACATTTCACCCCTCAGTGGTGTCTTCCACCCTGGACAAGAGCATTGATTGAATGAGGGGAGCCTGGGGAAGGGGAGACCACGAAGCTATTCAAAGCTGTGGATACATCTTCAGGTCTCCCCTTCATGAGGCACACCAAAAGCTGTGATCTGTCTCAAGGAATTCTTTTCCTGTGGTTGTTGAAAAGCCCAGATCAAACTGTAGCCCAAGGGATTCTGCCGTTCTTGGGGACACCCCGGACTGAGGCAGAGCTCCTCTGTCTGATGGGCTGTGACGCCAGCTGTGCCTTCTGTGCTCTTCGTGGCTTACCAGGCACATGTCCCCCTGAACACTGCTCTCCCTAAAGCTATGTGCAGACATTACTGTGATTAATAAAACACCATGCATGCTAAGGCAGCCCTGAATTCACGGCAGCTTGTTGTTACTGTCTTTTCTCCCAATCAGTAGATATTAAAACTATAGCTACTCTCATGTGGGATCCTCAAAATGTTTTCATGTCAAAAAAGGGCCCCCTTTCTTAGAGATTGAGAACACAGGCCTAAGGTTATCATGCTCAGATTGCAGGTGGCTGCAAGGGCCCACCAGGTTCTAGGATTTGGCAATGACTATACTCTAGGCCTGGTTCTGTGGGAATGGGGCTCCTGTTTAAGGTTCTTATATGATCTTAGGGCTCCCTGGAACCTAAGTCACTGCTACCTAAGTGGGGAGAAGGGTCCAGGGTTTCCCCTTCGTGGATGCCCCAGTTTTACTTGTATGGTTAAAGCGGCTGACCTCGGCCTGGTGGGAGGCTCTCAACTGCAGTTTCTGAAGCATAGCTTCATCAATTATCTTTTCTAGGCCCCATTTTCCCTATAGTTTCATGAGGATAATAATCCCCCTTAGAGGTCCCTCTCCTTACTCCTAAGGAATTGCCCTGTTTTGGTGGGTAAAACAAGGCTAAGAATCCATCTATTGAGACCTCTAGTTCATGTCACAAGGCCTACAGCAACACAGCAGCCCACATCCTTCAAGGTCCTGGAGGACCCCCAAGGTCAGCGTAGGGCCCTCCTCCAGGAAAACTTCCCGGATGTCTGCTCAGGGATTCAAGCATCTATTTGATAGCGACATACAGGTTTGTCCCTACCTATTAATGTGTGTTTCATACGTATGAGTCTTTTCTCCCCTGCCCACAATTTAGAGACAGAGACCATGGCTTATGGTCACTTCTGACCCTCCTTATTCAGTGCTTCTAATGGAGAGGGATGCCATCTGGGTCATCTTTGCATCTCCAGTGCCCAACACAGTGTCTGGCACATGGTAGGTGTTCAAGGACTATTACCATGACCGAATCTTGCCGTTCACTGCTGGCCTGACACAGTGCTAGCTACATGGTGGTTGCCAAATAAGGACTTGGTGATTGCTTGAGTCAGCAAATGTTAATTGAGTGAATAAATGGCTCCCCCTTACAATGCAATCCAGAGTCTCCCATCCTACTGGCATGAATGTCCTGAGACCTTGGGCAACTCCCTTTCCTCATCTGTACTATGAGGAGGTTGGAGTAGATCATCCTGAAGGTCTCCTTCACCTCAGGGGGAAAAAACATATGGTTATAGGCCAGCTTCTTTCAGCTTATTTAAATAAACATTTAATAAGCACCTATTATATGCAGGGTGAAGTGAATTAGACATGATGCTGGTTGTCAAGAAGCCGGTGGCTTATGGGCATAAGGGGAGAAGACATGTGCCACTTAGGACAGAGCAAAACCAGTGCTGAGCAAAGGCACCAGCAATATGCCAGGGGCGAGGAAGTCAGAGCAGACTTCTTGGGGCAGGGCGGAGAGGGGAGCGCTCCTGAGCAGGAGGCTGAGGCCTCTGCCCTGTCCTCTCCCTATCCCTCCTTGGTCCCTCTTTACTTGACAAAACTCAGGACATCAGTCGCTCCTTTGAAATGACTTCAGGACCACATTTGGGGAAATTAGCTTTAGAACGACAGAGGCCTAGCTGAAAGGTTGTCTATCAAAGACAGAATTTTTAAGCACCAGATGTCATTAAAATCTACTGGCTCACTCGAAATTAAAGCAATGAAAAATTAAAGAGATTTCCACTTGACTCCAGCTAAGAATCTAGCATACTGGTGACTAGGGTGGAGCCTCACCCACAAGGGGCAGGGCAGGGGTGCCAGGTCAGAAATGCTACAGAGGGAGCAGTGTCCCTGGCTCAGCTGCTCAGGTACTTTCTGCTGGTGGACGACAGGCTCTTCAGCAACCTGGTATAAATTATTTATCTGAAGATGTACACTGCCAGCATCACCTGCATTTCTTTCACCTTGCTGTCCACCATTTTGGGACTATGTTCATTCAGGATGTGATTGTTAAGCTACTGTAGTCATGGCTTACATTTCCTGAGCACTTACTATGTGCCAGGTGCTGTTAGCACTTACAGGTCTTAATGTGTTTAAGCTTTAAAATGACCCTATAGTTGTGAGGATTATAATGATCTGCATTTTATGGATGAAGAATTCAGGCCCTGAGTGATTAAAAGACTTGCCTAAGGTATAAACCCAGGTGGTCTCACTCCAGCTCTGTGTTCTCAACCACCGGGTCATCCATGTGTCAGTGTGTGGCAGTGGTGACCAAGGTGGACATGGCCCCTGCCTCCATAGAGCTGATGGTCTAGCTGGGGAGGCAGATGATAAATACTCAAATCAGAGTTCAGGGACAACTGAGGTAAAGTAGTGTGAAAGGAAAATGTAGGTATTAGGAGAATTAATAAAAGGGGCTCCTATATAGTCTTGGCCAGGTTGGGCTGTAGCAGGGAGAGAGCCTTCCCATAAGAAGTAACCTGTAAGCTGAAATCTGGTGGATGAGAAGGCATTGTCAGATGAGGAGAAAAGAGTGATGCAGGCGGAGGGAATGTACATACCAAGGCCTGGAGTCGGGACGGTGCTTGGCCTAGGCAGCTGGAGTGTAGGGAATGAAAGGAGGGAGCAAAGAGAGGTGGAGGAGTTGGGCAGGGCCAGATCATACGGGCCCTGTGCCGCCACAAGGATTCCAGATTTTGTATAAGTGCCATGGGAAGCTACTGAGGCATTCTCAGCAGGGACCGATACGAACAGATCTGGGTTTTGAAAAGTTCATTCTGGCTACCATGTGTAGAATAGATGCAGCTGGGCAAGAGGGGAGGCCCAGAGATCAAATGGGAGGCCAAGCCAGTGCCAGAAAAGGGAGGGTGCTCAGTGGACCAGGATGGTGTCAGTGGGATGGAGAAAAAGGGATGGAGTCACCATGTGTTTAGGAGGTAAGCTGACAGGACGCGTATGGGGACTAGGACTCTGAGCTTGGGCGAAGGAGAAAGTTCTTTGTCTCTGTCTCCACCATATCCTCTGCAAACACAGACTGAGAACCTATACCCATCACATGTCAGCTTTTATCTAATTTTTTACTGGTTTGTCCCTAGCCCTGAGAACGAGTCTGCACATAATAGGTGTTCAATAAAGAACTGAATGGAATGGAGAACTGAAGCCCAGAGGAGACAAAGGGACAGTGCGTATGTAGGGAACATTAAGAAGTGAAGGATAAAGAGAGCAATCAAGAAAAGTCGAATACCAAGAACCCAATTTCACAGGGCCTGGGTGGTGGTGAGGCAGAGGGGGGTTACCTGTCCATCCCGCCAGGCAGCAGCAGTGGCCTGTGACAGGATCACAGCCATCAGCGTGGCTGCAGTCACAGCGCTCAGTGCAGTTCAACCCAAATGTGCCATCCTGCAGAGAGAAGGGGGAGAGAGAAATGATCAGACTTAGACCCTCAGAGATTCACAGAGTTTTTCTGGATTCTGATGACAATACTGAGGCGCTGCCCCACAGGGTTGCAGAGAGACTGGGGCTGGAGCATGGTGAGGACACTTTTTATAATTGGTGGTGAGCATGGCCATGAGGCCACTCCAAATAATCCTTTGAATTAGTAGGAGTATGGGACTTGGAAGGAGAGAAGTGATGGTCCTGCCCTACTTTTCAGTGGTTAAGCTCAGAGGGCTGTAATGATCATTAACTAAATTGTAAATTTAGAATGCACTTTGTAAATTATAACACATTGATCATATGATGAATGAATGATTTATTCTTTGTTACTAGGGAAGAAGGTGGCAACCAACATTTGTTGCATGCTCATTAGGTATCAAGAACCTTATATAACTAATTTCTCTGCATCCTAAACAACAAACTATGAGATGGTTCCATTATATTCATAATTTAAAGATGAGAGAGATGGTTAGATAGGTAAAGTAACATGCTGAAGGTAACACAGTTAGGATATGGCAAAGTCAGAATTTGAACCCAGGGCTGTAAGTATCTTAGACTAAGATCAAGAGATGAAATCCAGGTGGTTATTGCTGGATAGTACTTGGTTTAGTCCTCCCACACCCTGATTATAAAATTATATGCTGTTGGAACCAGAAGGAAGTTTAGATGTTAATTATTAAGGAAAGGCAACTCTAATGGATTAGGAAGGGATGTCCTGTAAGTGTTATGAAGAATTCTGAAGATGCATTTGGGTCCAACTAAGTGTGCTAAAGTCAATTAATGTTTACTAAGAGCAGAAGGGGAAAGTAATGCCATATACTACACCTGCCAAGTATTTGCCATTTAATAGATGAGAGGGCTGAGACCCAAAATAGGAAAGTGGTCACAGAGGTTAGAACTGGAGTTGAGACCTGAATCCAAGTGTCCCACCTCCTGGCCCAGTGCTCTTGTCTGTGCACCTCTGTGGACAAAGTAATTGCAGGACGGGCATGAGGGGATGCTGGGCCTACCTGGCCCTCCTCTGCCCTAAGCACTCACCGGACAGGGCAGTTCGCAGGTGTCTCCCAGCCAGCCAGCAGTGCAGGAGCAGGAGCCGTCTGTGGGGCTGCAGGCGGCCCCGTTGGCACAGGTGCAGCTCTCATTGCAGTTCAGGCCCCATGTCCCACTGGGACATGGCAAGGCACAGTCCAGGCCCTGCCACCCTGAGGGGAGGGAAGGGGGCTGTTACCCCTCCAGCTTGGCTCAGCACAGCTTTCTGCCTGCTCCCCAGATCTGTACATGGAATTCCACCCAAACCACTGCTTCTCAGATTGCTGGGTTAGATCATGCATCCCACAAAGAGCCCACTCAGAGACACAGCAAGGCTATTGCAAAAGCCAAATTAGAACCCAGGTCTCCTGCCTCCATTCTGTTCCTGCTGTAGGGGCATGATTCCTCTGGGGACAAGGAACAAGGAACCAGCTGAGGTGGGGAGGGCCATCTCTACCCAGGATGGAGTCAGGCAGCTTGTTTTATTTTAGGGCCATTTGTTTTCAGGACAGGCTGGTTTCCCCTTCTGAGGCTGGTCCCTGGCCTGTTTGCCCCCAGATCTGTGTCTCCCCTTCCCCTGCTCTGTTCTGCATCACTGGAGGCCAATCCTGAGGTTGCAGCTGCACATCCTGGGCTCCTACTCAGCTGGCTCCCAGATGGCCTTGACAGTGGGGGACCTGACCCACAGACTAGAGGGCAGGAGCTGGAAGGATGCCAGGTGTCCCCTCTCCTTTCTCTGCTTTGGGCAGGGCCTCTAGTGGTGCCTGTGTCTCCCCTGTGCTCCAGCCACTCTGTCCATGTCCCAGCGCCCACCAAGCGGCCTTCATTCCCAAGCTCTGGGAATTCCACTTGGTCCCTTTGTCCTTCCCACCCCTGGAGTAGTAGCTCCTCCAACAGCTTCTAAGCTCTGGTTTGCTCACCTTCCCCTGTATGCTCCTCCAGCTCTTCTAACACCATTGTAACTAGTCCCCTTTATTACATTCCTGCTACTGAAATCCCTGGCATGGTTTCCTTGGCCGGGATCTGACATTTAGGCTCCCTGACCCTGCCTGTGGGTGGGTGGGGGCAGTACGCACATCTGAGGGGGTGGGATGGGGCAAGAAGGCACATTACCTTCCTTGCAGGTGCAGGAGCCATCTACTGGGGAGCAGGTGCCACGATTGTTACAGCTACAGACAGACGAGCAGTTGGGGCCGTAGGTCCCTGCTGCGCAGGAAACTGCACAGACCTCTCCCTGGAAAAGGAGGGGGTGGATTTTGGATCAGCAGTTCCATGCTAGGTGGCTGTGGTAGACAGACTAATGCCCACCCTCATCCCCTGAGGTCTGTGTTCTAATTCCTGGAACCTGTGAATATGTTAACATTACATGACAAAAGGGACTTTGCAGGCTTGATTAAGGATCTTGAGATGGGGAGTGGATCTTGGATTATCCAGATGGGCTCAAACTAATCACATGAGTCCTTAAACGTGGAAGATGGTCAGAGAAGCTCAGAGAGATCTGCAGTAAGAAGGCCTGTGCCTGCCTACACTGGCTTTGAAGATGGAGGAAGGGGTCATGAGCCAAGGAATGTGGTGGCCTCTAGAAGTTAGGATCAACCCTCATTTTATAGCCAGCAAGAAAACGGGGACCTCAGTCCTACAACCCTAGAAGCTAAATTCTGCCAATATCCTGAATGAGTAGGCAATGGATTCTCCCCTATTGTCTGGTCTCAGAATGGCTCTCCTGCTACCACAACTGACTCTGCGCCTCCCTAGGGGCTCTTATGAAAAGGGAAATCCAGGCCAGATCCTGGTCTCTGGTTCCATGCTATACCCTGCCATCTGCCCCAAGCCTTCCCAGCCAGGCTGAGGGTAAGAAGCACAGCTGGGAAAATTACCCTGTTGGTCTCTACTCATCCTGGCATCCGCTCAGGGAGATAGGCCTGCCAAGCAGACTAGGATCTTAGAGATATCAGATTCCCTGCCTTCAGGGGAAGGAGACCAAAAGTCTTATCAGTCACGTGTGGCTTTTGAAATCTGTCTCCCTAGCTTTCATCACCAAGGACCTTGTTAGTATCCTCTCTCTACAATGTCTTCTTACTGGGAAGACACTGCTGTCCCTCTGTGCTGGTGTCTAAGGCCAGTCACGTATTGAACAGGTGCATTTTGGCCAGTGACCACATGCCATGTGACTCTGGTGGCAGCATCTTGCCCACCAACCATGACCTAGAAATTCCAATGATGTCACCTACAGCCAATCAGAACTTCTGATCAGTGTCAGCAACCTGAGCTATCACACAGAGTTAATTCAGTTCTAATTAAAAGCAAAAGAAAAACCTTGGTGTTTTAGTTAGCTTCATCATAGCTAACGGAAGACTGCCTGTAGGCTTTGTGAAATGTTCAAAACTGCTCTTGGCAACCTGCTCCAGCCTTTGCAGGGGTCTAGCTGGCAACCACTGGCTGTGCTGTCTCTAAGGGCCCTTCAGCTCCGCTCTCTGAGCATCTTCTTGTCTGAAGTAGAGGTCTTAACCCAAAGGAGGGAGGAATGGTGGGAACAGAGGCCCAGTGGTGGGAGTCCTCTGGGGACTCTAATAATCATTCCAGATGCATGGCCAGTGTATGGCCTGGGCCTGGCCTCATACCCACGTTTAATGGTGGGGGGACAGCGCACCATGCTAGAGCTGGAATCACTTGGTCTAGCTGCCTTGTTTCACAGGTGAGGAAACAGGCCAAAAGAGGGGAAGTGACTTGCCCAAGGTCATAGAGCCAATGGTAAGCAGACATGGGTTTGGAACTTCAATCTTCTGGTTTCTATTTTAAGCACAGGATGCTAAGAGTCCAGATGTGAAAACTCTGGGATAGCCTATACTGCCCCTGCTCATACAGACAGCAAACTCACCCCCTATGCACAGGGCATCCAGAGGACGTGGCCCTGATCTTGAAGAAGGGACACCTGCTGAGGCCCAGATGTTTTGGCCCTTTCTCAGCACCTGAAAGTTGATAGTTGGGAGTTCTTGTATTCTTCTCTATTCCCATTTCACCCTCACAGACCATAGGCCACAGCCCAGGAAAGGAACGCTCTACCTTCCACAGAGGCAGGTTGCAGTTTCCAGACTCTGCTGGGGGAAGCCTGCCAGTTCTGCTCAGCATCTTCGTTTTGTGAATGGAGGACAGGTGTGAAAACCTCCTCCCATTTAAAGGCCTGTTAATTACAGATGCAGCATTGGCTATTAACATCTTGAACTTGATTTGAAAGAGCTACTGGTGGAATGGAACCCCTGGAGCTGGTCCTGCTAAAGAGATGCAAATCTCCCTCCCACCTTCCACCTGCCTCCTCGCACAACATGGCAACACGGGCCCAGACCCTGGTGGGTAATGCGTTATATGTTCCATTAAATTTGTTTCAAATGCTGTTTATTGAATTTTCTCCCCTGCAATATGCTGCTTTGTACTTTGGCCCCGTTTAGGAAAATGAATCAACAGCTGGGCTTCTCATGTTGATCATCCATTTTCCTTGCAATGGGCAGGAGGTTAATGAGTATTTTTTGGAGTAGAAGATGGAGAGTGGTTGGCCCTCCCTCACCCAAAAGAGGGAGGCAGTTGTGCAAGTTTGTATCGGGGTCCCCTTAAATACACTGTGAGTGGGAGGCAGTGTGAGTGGAACTGGGTTCTCTAGATCCAGGCGGAGCTGGTGGGCATGCTCCTCCAGCCTGTGGGCGCTCAGCAGAGATGCTCTGGGACAGGTAGCCAGGGGAGTCGCCCTAGTCGGTGTGTCTCCCTGTTGGAGGAGTAGGGATGATTTAGGGAAGAAAGGGCCCTGGACCTGGGGTCAGGGTACATGGGCTTAAGTGAGGCAAAAGCACTGACTCAAGGTGATCTGGCCTCATCTGTTCACCCATTCAGTCCACAAATGTTTGTTGAATGTCTATTATAGGCCAGGTACCGTGATAGGCCCTGGTCTCGCTAACAGTTACACCAGACCAGATGCCACGTAAGGTCCCTGTGTTTAAGTTTCCTCCTGCCCTTCCACTTCCAGAGAAGGTTTCTGTTACTTGCTTCTTTGTGGCACTTATCACGATTTTAATTGAATCAAAAAAAATCAATTTACCAGATTGTAAGTTCCATGAAGGTAAGGACTGGGTCTGTTTTTTCCAACCCTGTGGCCCCAGCCCTAGCACAGTACCTCGCCCACAGTGGATGCTCAATGCATATGTATTGAATTAACTCAGTCATTCAGTAAGTGTTTTTTAAATGCCAGTAGTGTCAAGAACTATGCTCGGCCAGGGGATACACAGTGGGCAGAACAGCTTGTCCCTCATGGAGGTTACCGACTAGTGGCCAGAGCAGGGTGAGCACAAGATGAGGTTATGGCATGAGAGGGGTGCCGGCTAGTCCCCTCCCCACTTCCAGATGTTCGGCACAGCCTTCAGTGACCTCCCCCAGGCCTCTGGTAGTGCCTGTTCTCCGGTTCTCCCCTGCTATTCCTAGAGATTCAGGGTCGCCAAGCAGGCTGACTTTGCTGTCTGGTGTCACATCAATGCCAGTAGCACACATGTGGAACGTGCTTTTATGTTTACAAAGCTCCGTGCCAGGCAAGTATCTACTCTTTACCAGAGTGCCAGTCCTGGGCTGCTTCACTCCCCCTACTCACCCTTCTTGGTCACCCTCACTCCAAGCTCCAAGGACTCAGGCAGTGGGATTCCCAGGCAGGGAGCCTCATTTATGATTTGTGAAAGAGTGACCCATGGCCCACAAGGCGAAGAAAGAACAGCTTGGACTGAACACCAGCCACGAAGGCTTCTCTTAACACAGAGCAAACCTCACTGGACCTAATTAGTGTGTCACTGATAAAGCAGCAACTGACAGTGGATGCATGTTGCAGAAAAGAAACTGCATAAGCCATGGGAAGCAGAGGGCCAGGGAGATGAAAGGGAGGGAAGGGCTGAAGGTTAGACATGGAAACCCATGTCTGTCCAAAATGAATAGGTTATCAGTGACCTGAGCCTACTCTGCACAGTTGTGCAGGCTATGCACTGTACAACTCTAGTGGTACCACTCACAACAGTCATCATAGTTTGTGTATATACGACATCAGTTTTCTAGTAGATGTTAGGAGAATGTTGTGAGAAAGGGGTACCTTTTTCTAATTTGCTATATATATATAGCACAAATATGTTATCTAACTCTGATTCTTCAAAAGGGTCTTTTTAGAGGAGCACAGATACTTTCAAATGGTTCCCAGATACCAAGACATTTCCAGGAAACCTGAAAGTCAGTCCTGCTAAAGAGATGCTAAAGGAAGGATATTTGGGGTCAAGTTCAGGCCAAGTCACTTACTGGCTGCATGACCTGGGGTCGTCCTAGAGACTTAGCTGCTGTCCTGGTAAAATAAAGTTTCTTTGCTGCTCTCCACTGATGCCCTTGTCTTATCTGTAAGTCCCTTCCTCTTTTCCAACTGTTCCCTCCCCAAGAGTCTCTCCTGAGTTTGGAGAAGGTATCACAGGCTAAAAAGGGCTTATTAAGCACTCTTGAGAGGCATTCATATCTTATCAAGAGACTCCCAAGTCTAAAATCCCTGGAGACGCTCTTGTGTGCAAGGTCTGTGCACAGATGCCGCCTCTGGAGAGGGGTGAGCAGGGGCACAAAGACTCTGGTTGTCAGCACTGCCCACGCCCCTTCCCCCTACAGACAGGGCTGGCTCATTGGCTTGGACAGACTGACCCAGCCTCAGTGCTGGACACTGTAGGAAGGGGACTCAGATTTTTAACCACTCCCTTGGTGCCATCTATGCCAGGCACTTTTTGTCCCTTGTCTCTTTTTGTTCTTATAACAGCCCTGTGGGGAAGGAATTCCCCCCCTAGAGAGAGAACTAATCTAGAGAGAGGCCAAACTGAGGCTGGAGGGGTCAATTTGCCCTAAGCTACACTATGCAAAGAGACTGGCTGACCCCACAGCCCAAGCCCTCGCCCTTGGGCCAGGCTGCATTGAGTGCAGACAGGTTGGCAGTGACAGGGACCCAAATGTCCTGAGCACCTATTATATGCCAGGCCCTGTACGAGATGACTTCCTACCCATTTGTTGTTAAATGTTGACAGTGGAGGAAGAAAAGGTAGCAGGGGATTATGATGGGAACTCTTTGGGGGCATTTGTGTCTTATGTTAGGAGACTCTTGAGTCTAAAAAACTTCAAGACTTGAAACAATATAGCTAAGATGGTGGAATAACAGGCAGTGGGAGTGAGAGTTAGACTGGGGAT